GAGTTTATACATAGACTCAGCATCTTTCCTTCTATCTTTCTTTGACTCTATCTATCATATACACGATATATACAACTCATGGAATAAGACATACAATCAGTTAATACATGAAAACAGTTGAACTAAATACGAAAATTAACAAACCAAGAACAAAATACCATGAATACAAAACCTACACTGATATTTTTCTAAATCTAAAAGAAAATATAATACATGTTTATAAATTACATTTCAAGTCTTTCTATTTGAAACATCATGAAAAATAGCTAAATAAATGTTTTATTTGATTGCTGACAAATACAGTCTATGCAAGCACATTATAAATGAGATAGCAGATAGTTGGTAGTTCTCAGTCTTGGTGCTAAAACCCCACTTCCTCTCAAACATCTTGAATTCATTATAAACAAACAAACAAAAAAAGGAAGTGCATGCAAAAGATGAAAATATATTTTAAGTGTTGTTTTCCAAATATCTCCCCTAGGTAAATCCTAATGATAATAATGCTCTTTAAAAGAAAAATGATTAATATATGTACATTCACATATTTGAGAGCAAGGAGAGGAGAGGATGAAATGAGGAGACATTTTCAAGCAACAAATTTAACTCCTGTTATCTTAATGTAAAAATGCAGAGAGCTCCCACCCTAATGCCAACAAAGTCTGGTCCTGCTTAGCTCCTGAAATTAGGCAAGACTGAGTGCTAGAGCAAAACCATGATTAGCATGAGTAGTGGAGTGGAGAAGAAAGATCTGAGAGAAGTCAGAGGTGGGGAAAGAATATGAACCATTCATTGCATGAAAACATTTCCAACTTCTGCTAGTAAAATAGATATAGCTAATCCAAAGAAATCTTTCTTCTGTAGACAACTAAGAAATCTGTAGAAAGTGAAAACATCAGATTGAGAGCACAGGACTGTTAACAAAGCTGTTGAGAGCAACAAGGCTGAAAGCATAGGATGATCATTTCTGAATCAAAGCTCATTTCTCTTTAAGGCTGTTTGCTGGTTGTGCCAGTCTTGTTTCTGTTCCTGGGACAATTAACTGACCAAAACAACTAAGGGAGCAAAGGGTCTACTTTAGCTTACAGTTTATAGTCCATCATCTATCAACTGCAGGACAAGAGCTAAAGGCAGGAACCTGGAGGCAAGAACAGATGCAAAATTCATGGAAGAATGCTGTTTCTATTGCTTAATGACTTGCTCACTACTTCTGTTCAACCTTATAGAGCCTCTGTGGGCAGGGCCCTCCGCCAGCAATTAGAAAGCATGAAAATGCCTCATAGACATGTCCACAGGCCAGTATGATAGAGGCCATTTCTCAATAGCGGATCCCTCATTCAAGGAGTATCAGGTTGACAACCAAGAAGAGTTACTGCAGCATTGTTCAAGGAAGTGTCAAAAAAGGACAGCAACACGGGAAGCACTGAGAGAGAGGGGCAACAAAGCCTCAGGATGCCAAATTCTACGATGGACTACATCCATGTAAAAACACAGAACAATTAATGACTATAAAGCACTGGGTATAGTGGTTTATACTCAATCCAACACTCAGGATGCAGAGGCAGAATGATTTCAAGTTTGAGACCAGCTTTGGCTTCAAGCTGCAGGCCAGTCTGAATTACAGTTAAGACCCTGTTTCAAAAAACAAACCCCGTAAAGCCCTAAGTGACAACAAAAACCCTGACTAATTCAACAATGATGCACCAATGCTACTAGCAATCCAATAGTAACGAATTCTAAAGGCATGTGTTATTCCTCTGGTTTACATAAAGATTAAACATGTATTTGTGTAAGTACTAGGTATAGATACAGAGTCCTTTATCCTAAACACTAGAGACCATAATTGTTCAGATAATTTCTTTTTTATTTTGGAATGTTTACATAGACATATCTAACTTGGAGATACAAAATGAGTCAAAATCCAAAATTTCTGATTGCCACATTGGCTCTCAGTTTCAGTTTTGAGGTATTTTGGATTTCAGGTACCTACACAAGAAACTTACTTTTTGGGACTCAAAATATTCAAAGTACTTAACTGAAAAAAAAATTGTTTTTGTTTTCTAAACTAGTAAATAATTGTCTAGGAAAGCACAGATGCAAATATGCATAGCTATACTATGGATATAGAATATATCATGCAGGCTCTTCTGTTATATCAGCTACAGTTGCTGTTTGGGGAGGTTTTGAAAACTTTTGGAGGTTGGGTATCAATGGAAGAGGTGGGTGCATAAATTTCAAGGTTATACCTAGTGCCCAGCTCTTTCCTCACTTTCTGTTCCCTATCTGCCAAGTCCTCTACAATGTGTCCCAGCTCATAGTATGAACTACCCACGTGACCATGGATTGAATAAATTGGTACAGGAGACAGCTTCCTGAACATAACACCAGTAGCACAGACACTGAGATTGGCAATTAATAAATAGGACCTCTTCAAACTGAGAAGCTTCTGTAAAGCAAAGGACATAGTTGACAAGACCAAACAACAGCCCACAGACTGGGAAAAGATATTCACCACCCCACATCTGAAAGAGGGATGATTTCTAAAATATACAAAGAACTAAAGAAATTAGTCACCAAAACACTAAATAACCCTATGAAAAAGTGGGATACAGAACTGAATAGAGAATTCTCAATAGAGGAAATCAAAAAGGCTGAAAGACACTTAAGAAAGTGCTCAACATCCTTAGCTATCAAGGAAATGCAAATCAAAACAATTCTGAGATACCATCTTACTCCTGCCAGAATGGCTAAAATTAGAAACACCAATGACAATTTATGCTGGAGAGAATGTGGAGAAAGGGGAACACTCCTACATTGCTGGTGGAAATGCAAACTTGTACAGCCATTTTGGAGATCAGTATGGCGGTTCCTCAGGAAAATGCATTATCAGTCTACCATAGGACCCAGCAATCCCTCTCTTGGGCATATACCTAAATGATCCACATCCATGCAACAATGACATCTGTTCAACTATGTTTATAGCAGCACTATTTGTAATAGCAAGAACCTGGTAGCAACTTAGATGCCCTGCAACTGAAGAAGGGATAAAAAAAAGATGTGGCATATTTACACAATGGAATACTACTCACAGAAAAGACATTGGAATCTTGAAATTCGTAGGCAAATGGATGAAACTTGAAGAAACATCCTGAATGAGGTAACCCAGTCACAAAAAAGAAACATGGTATGTACTCACTCATACATGGATTTTAGACCTAGAACAAAGGATCACCAGTCTATAATTCACACCGCCAGAGAAACTAGGATACAAGGAGGAACCTAAGAGATTCATACAAGGTCCCTCACAGAAGAGGACAGGAACAAGATCTCCTGAACATATTGGGAGTGGGTATATGGGGCAGTGAGTGGAGAGGGAGTTAGGAGAAAGAGAAGGGGAGGAGAACATTTTGAACTAGGAAGATTGAGTGGGGGGATGAATAGACGAGAAAAAAAAAAAATAAGAGGGAGGAGCCATTATAGGTTTGAAGAGAAAACTGGCTCTAGAGAGATGTTCAGAGACCTACAAAGATGACCCCAACTAACAATGTGAGTAACAGTGGAAAGGTTACCTTATACGCCTTTCCCTGATAACTAACTTTTATGCCATCCTAGAGTCCTCATCTAATAGCTGATGGAAACAGAAGCAGACACCCACAGCTAAACACCGAGCTGAACTCCTGGAATCCAGCTGCAGAGAGGGAGGAATGGTAAGAAAAAGGGTCATGACAAGGCTTCAGAAACCCACAGAGACAGCTGACCTAAACAAGGGGAGCTCATGGACCCCCACACTGATAGCTGGGAAAGCAGCATTGTACCCTCTCAGACCCCCTGAACATGGGTCTCAGTTAGAAGGCCTGGGCAGTCTAAGGGACCTCTGACAGTGGAACCAGGATGCACAAAAGGACTTTGGAAGCACATTCCCCTTGGAGGGATACTCCCTTAGCTAGAGGCAGGAGGGCGGGCCTAGACCTACTCCAAATGACTTGACAGATTTTGATGATTCTTCCTGGAAGGCATCAGCCTCCCTGTGGAGTGGGGGCAGGGGGTATGGGAGGGAAGGAGAAGGAACTGGGATGGATGTGTAAAATAAGACAAAATAATAAATATATATTAAAAAAGAAAGAAAGAAAGAAAAAAAAACAAACAAAGCAAAACAAAATAAAGCCATTCTCAGGTATCTGGTCACAGCAATTTGAATTCTGAATAACACACAAAGGCATAATCTCCAATGCACTATCCAACAGAACACTGATCAAATCACTGCAAATTTAGTTTGTAGATTCTCAAATGTTTAAATGAGGTAAATTTCTGATGTAGGTACATTTAAAATGTTTACAGAAAACTAAGGAACCGAGAAAACTTGCAGATCAAATGTAATATGCTAGCACTCATGTGAAACTTAACAAATAGCTAGGCTTACCCAATAAAAACACATTCGTGCAACAAACCCAGAGAGCTCAAGGGAAGACAGAATGTGCAAGTGAGAGAGCATATGAAGATGACCAGATTGGTAACATCAGTTATCTCAAAGACAGGGCATTTTGTTTCTTATTCCACATTGCCAGAAAGTGTTATTTTAAACCAAGATTTTATGCTAGCTTTGTAATGAAAATTTCTTATAACAATTTGTAGAAAAATCAGATAACATGTCAACAGCAAAATAGTAAGTTGTATAGTGTTAGTTGAGCTAAAGGTCAGGTTATTATCTATTATAGAATATAAGGTTATTTATTATAAACATTAGTCTTTAAATGAAGATAAAATTTAAATAAAATGAGAAATAAATGCAACTACTAGTTATTCAGAATATCAGTAAGTACATGCAAGTAGATTCTGGAAGATTCTTGTTAATTAAAATTACTTAGAAGGTAGCTTCTTTGTTAGTGGTCATCAAATAACTAAATCTAGTAAAAAGAAATCAACTGTTCTGTAGATTGGAATATAAACAATCTCCTTAGAAATAATGCTACCACTTGCTGAATAAAATAAAAAGTTGTACTTACAACAAGGAATAGACTGAATTGGTCCAAGCTGTGGGAAGGTCATAAGAAGAGAAATCCCTGGAAGATCATTTTTGTTTGAAGGTTTGGTAGTTTGGTCAGCCCAAGCCACCACCTTCTTCCTTTCTACCAAATGCTCAATATCTTTGAAGTCAGAATCAAAAACTGCATTTGACGGATTAGTTTCTTCTGACATGCAATACTTTTTCTTAGGGCTGGAAGTAAAGCATTCAAAACCCTAAGAACAGAAGATGATAAGAAAGGAGAAAGAAACACAAAGTTTTAAACACTATTGTAGTTCTTTTGTATACCAGCAATGTATTACAATATCACTAAAATGATTTTCTATTATAAGGTTACTTGGCAAATTCTCTTGGGAAGCCTGCAGCCAGTCTAGGTAAGGTTAAAATGTCCTTTCCTAAAGAGTATTTCTTTGCCTCTCCCCTTTAGTACCCATGGAAACATCAATATTAAAATCTTTTCATAATTCAAATCTGTTTTGTAAAAAAAAATACATAATTTCATCCAAACAGCTTACCATATACTTAATATATTTGGTATAAAGAGAATCCTGGATGGGAATCAGGGAAACCAGGCTCAATTAGTAGTCCTATTTGTGTCTATGTTCTCAATATATAGTTCTCAAACTCTCTCTGCCACTTTTTTGATCATGGCTCACCTATACCTTCTTGACAGGCCAAGCAGTTAGACTTAACAATAGTTGTGTCATATCAAACTTACAGATGTTTTAGTATAGGGAATACACAATACAGTATAATAACTACACAGAAAGGCAGATAAAGTGACCAATTTTTAGCAGTGAGGGTTGGGAAGGGACTGAGGATCTGTGAGGAGAGAAACCCTGTACTTTTGAAAACTGTATTGTTGTGTGGAATAGGATTACTAGGTCTGAAAGTGCTATGAAAACTTCACTTTTGATGTTAGGAATATTTCCATAATTTCCAGATTGGAAATGACAAGTGTTTCACTATATTTAAAGTGTGTGTATTTAAGCAACAGACACTATTGGGACTGCCTACTTTTCTTTGGAAAGTGCAATTTTTATCTGCCAGATAGAGGTGTGTAGGAAATCAGCCCAATAAAACCACAAGGCACTGACAGGACCAAATTTCCATTGTGAAGGCACAGCTTTTTGCTGAAATGAAGCATATCCCACTGCACAAGACTCTCTTCCTTTCTGAAGTCGGGCTCTCACTATTGTCACATAGACCAGGAGGACCTCACATGTACAGCACTCTTGCTTCTGTCTCTGTCGTGCTAGAGTTAAAGGCAAATGCCACCATGTCTGGCACTTAACAAGATTCTTGAGAGTTTATTTGTCCAGTTTCTTCCAAACTGTTCAATAACCCTTTCCATTTTGTATTGTTCTGCTAAACTAACAGTATTGAGTACAACTATATATGAATCTCATGAACATTAGTAAATCATTAAACCCAGGAATGGTTTTAAGAACTCAGATATCATGTTATGTTTGCATAATTTATTGTTATGAATGAGAACAAGAGAATGCTAAGGCTTAGCAATGCTATATAGTTTCTACAAGGATATATTGCTAAAGAAAGCAGAATTCAAGATTGAGTCCAAAAACTTACTCATGCTCTACAATTCCACACTGCTTTTAAGATGCTTTGGTTCACTAGTTCTTGAAAATTAGTTAGAATCCATTTTAACTCAATATTAAGGTAAAAGCTTCTTTGAGGCATATCAATCTGCGTCTGATATAATAACACATTGAGGTTAAAATCAACTACTGTGTGTCTGAAAGCCTAAACTCCTACATGTTACTTGATAGAAAGTGATGTTTGCTTTGCTACGTGTAGCTGCAGATCCACAATGAGAGAGGGAATCAGTGTGAGCTCCCATTTATAAAACAACTATTCTGTTTTCTTCATCTTAAAATAGCTTACTTTAAATCAAAAGCATAGAAAATTAATCATGAGTAATTTGAGAATATCCATGGAATGCAAATGGGATTTTTGAATGGCAACTCCATAGAGAAACGAACCCCTCATTTTTACGTAACCTCAAAGTAATGCCTACCTAACAAACTGTAAAAAGAGATTACACTTTTAAAGAAAATCATACACTTAAAAAAATTTGACAATAAAAAATGCTATTAGTGAGCTGTACAATGAATATAAGAACACATAAAAATGGAAACACTTTGGCTGTTTTCACAGGACTAAATCTCCTAGTCCACAAACAAGGGAGATCTTTTTATTTTCTTCAGTTTTTAATAATTTTTCTTTGTAGAGGTCTTTTGTTTTCACGGTTATTTATTTCTTGTTTAATGCTACTGTGGATGTTACTGATTCCCCGATTTCTGGTTCAGCATATCTACCACTGGAGTGAAAGGAAGGCTGCTGTATTAGTATGTTCATTTTGCATCTCACTATCTGCAAAGTGTTGGACATTTTAAGAGATTTTAGTGAAGTCATTAAGCTTTTTTAATTATAGAACTGTATCATCTTCAAATAGGGAAACTTTGACTTTTCTTTCCTTTATCTCCCCCTCTCTCCTGTTTTAATGCCCCAGCTCAGGCTTCAAGCACTGCAGTTAGCAGAAGTGGAAGTGACGGGCACCCTTGTGTTATTTCTAATGTTGTCGAGAATGCTTTGAGCTTTTCTGTATTTAGCACCATGCTGGCTACAGGTCTGTCAAATACAGCCTTTATTACACTGAGGTATACTCTGTGCATCTTTAGTCTCTCCTGCCTTATGCCATGAAGGGATATAGGATTTTGTCAAAGGCCTTTTCTGTGTCTCTGGAGATACATGTGATTTCTGTCCATTTTTGTGATGTACTACATTTATTGATTCATATATGCAGAAACCCCCGAATCTCTGAAATGAAGCTAATTGATCACGATGACTTATCTTTCTGATGTGAGTTTAAATTCAGTATGTCAGTAGTATACCAAGAAGTTTTGCATCTGTGTTCATCATAACAGTTTCCAACATGTGCATGCTTAGCTGCTAGCTAATGCTAGCTTCATACAGTTAGAAGCTTTCCTTTTTCCATTTATAGAACTATTTGCATTGCACTGGTGTTAGTTCTTTGAAGGTCTGATACGATCTGCAGTAAATCCATCTGGTCCTGTGACAGACTTTTTATTGCTGATTCACTGTTGTTGCTGTTTGAATTATTTATTTCAGTTTTGGTTCATTTTGGTAGCTCATATGCATGCAGAAATTCCTCTACTTCTTTTAGAATTTTTTTTTTTTAATTTAGTGGAATGTAAATGTTGAAGGATGCTATTAAGGTTGTAGAGGGAGAAAGGTATCAGTGGTTTTTTTCCAGCAGTTAACCACATGAATCCAAAAAAAAAAAAAAAAAAAAAAAAGCAAAACCCCACAAACTTTCTGTGTAAGATGTGCCACAACCTTAAGTGTGTGTGTGTGTGTGTGTGTGTGTGTGTGTGTGTGTGTGTGTGTGTGTACCTGAGGGGGAGTGCAGAGGCAGGGAACTGCAGTTGGTATGTAAAATAAATAAAGAAATATTATTTAAATAAATTAAAAAAAAAAAGTAACTATTTGACTAGATTTGAAGCTGAAGTCATGCTTGGGATTAAAGCCTGATTATCACCTATGCCAGGGGAAGTCATAGACTAAGTGGGCAACTCACTACTGTTGAACTAAATTCATTGCATCTAAGCGTCTTATAAATTTCTATATTTATACCCAGTCTCTGTAGTGAACAACAATGAGTCTGGAGACTCACAGCTGCCAAAGATGCTGAGAAAAAGTGATGGCTAAAGGTTCAGCACTAAACAAGGCATTTACACTACCATTTCTGAAACTCAAAGGACATTATGAAAGAAGAGCCTGGCAGTATCTCAGAGCGGGAAGATAGTGTGAAGTGCAGCAAATGCGATCCTCTACACTCGATACAGCCATTGTGTTCATGAGTTTTTAACAACTGCTGTTACCAACATTAGGCTCACACAAGTTTGGCTCTACCAACAATCAACTGAGAAGGGAGAGGGTCTCAAGGTCCTCTACCAGTTACTGCTAAATTACTGGAGAAAGAATTTGGGAAAGGGGTAACCACTGTCTTCGGTTGTGTCTCCACTGCTGAGCACAGGAGACTTTAATGGATAGCTCCAAACTGATGATTTTATAGATGGGTCTGGTTAAACTTGCCCGGTAACCAAAGCAAACCAAAAAGAAAAACAAACAAACAAACAAAACCTCACAAACAGACAAAGGTGATCTATAGGGAAGAAGTGGGAGGACATCACTGAGATGGGAGAGGGTGGGAATGGTCAGCATGCATTATGTACAAGTGGAAAATTGTCAATTACTTAATTCATAAAGATTATACAATAATCAAGGCACCTGATGCTCATTAAGAGCTAATAACAGTAATGAGATCTGAGTACATGGAATTTTCTGTCGGTTACGTATCTTCTGGTCCAATCTTAGAGGTTGGCAAGGTACAGGTGAGGCTCATTAGACTGGACTGTGGCACTGGGTTTTAGACCCAGATTTATCTGACTGGGTTTAATTTTTTTTTTTTTTAGCACAAAACCAAAATCTTAAAAAAAAAATTCATTTACAAACTACAAGGAACTATAAAAAAATTAGCTATTAGGAAAGAACCATGTCCTTCACATCTCAATGTTTTCTTCCTGTGTGGTTACTGATGCTGACAAACAATTCAAATCAATGAATCCCTTAGCAGATACAGTTCAATTCCTGCAGCAGTAAACTCGGCAGGCTGCCCAACACCGTGTACTTACGCCTCAGTCTGACTGAGCTGCTGCTCTTGGAGACAAGCCAGAGCCTTCATGTGTGCCATTTGTGCTTTCAGGTCTTTGGTCTGGAGGTGTAACTGGTGACAATGAAGATCTTTACTGAGCACCTAGGGACAGGGAGCGAACTGCATTTCAGATTTTTAAAAGAATTAGGCTAATTTTCATGTAACATATTTCATGTGGAACCAAATTTTTTCTTTTTAATATATTAAAAAAATGTGGAGAAATATAGACAGTAAGAAAACTTATTGTCGAAATCAGTTGAGTTGTGTCAAGCTGAACATGAAACTAGGTAAGTTCTAGGCATACGTAGTCTAGCACTTACCAGCAAGGCCAGAATTTAAATATTTTTATAAAATGAATATTAGGGACCTGGAAAAAGGTATGTTATGATGACAGCTTCTCTGTTGATCCAATTTGCTTACAGTATTGTAAAAGTAATCATACCACAAGTTTTTACTTAAATGTTATTACCAAAAGAGGCATTCCTTGAGTACTACATCTAAAGATGGACAACCCCTATCTTCCAACACTTTAATAGCACTGACCAATAAGAATGCTATTTATTCACCTGAAGGTAAAGGTCATCCAAGGATGAACTATGATCACGTTAGTTCAGTGTACTGGCCTGTGTTGAATTACATGCTACATGCAGTACACTTCTCTCTCCCCCTCGCTTCCTTCCCCCCCCCCCCACCTCTCTCTCTCTCACACACACATACCTCTTATATTCTTCTTACAATCTTCACCTTTGGGGGAAAAAATGTCTTGAATATTCCCATTTTCTCTATGCTCTTCTGTCTAGGGCCAGGCACCCTCTAATTTACCACTTATAACTTATTAATTTTTCCTGAAATTCACTAAATCCTAAATACAAAAAATATCAGCTCAGAAAGGATTGAGACGTATGAAACAAAAATACATAGCAATTTTAGCATCTTTAATTGTGTAATGAAAAAGTGTATTTTTGGGGACATTTGGATTGGTAAGCTAACAATCAAATAGAGCAATGGATGCCTAGAGGTTTCTTTTAGCAAAAAAAATTGATATCCCACTTTGATTTTTTTTCATATTCCTTTCTAGTCTATAGTTGGACATAGATTGTCTAAAGTACAGATTAGATTTTTTTTGGGGGGGGGAAGGTGGGGTAATTCTTATGATTATCAATGCATCATGTTCAAGACCAAAGCAGGAGATATTAATTATTAATATTTTAGTAATGACAAAGGAATGCAGGCTCCTTATCAGGTTTGTTAAAAATAAAATACTTCCTATACCAATCAATGCTTAAGTAGGGACTTAGACAAAGAAATGTTCCTTTGAGATTCAATTCAAGAAAATGTACTACAGGCTTGCACACAGGTGAATCTTCTGGGGGCATTTTCTCAATTGAGGTTTTCTCTTAAAAAAAAAAAAAGACTTTAGTTTGCATCAAGCTGACATAAAACTAGCCAGCACAATTCATTTACATAATTCACCTTTACACTTCAAGAACTTTATCATGTGTTTTGGATAAAGCACTTTTTATGGAACCAGGATTATGTCTAGAGGATTGGCCTATGAGTCATCTGATTTTTAAGGATATGCTCAGTCTTGAAACAAATGTCAGCTCAAGCCAAATACATGGCCTTTATGGAGATCAGTTTACTTGACTAAAGTGTGAGAGCTGAACTGATTCATCTTACATGATCTCCTTATAGTTTTTCAGTTAGAAAATAAAGTGTGCAAACATATTTTCCAAATAGTTCCAATTATTTTCCTAAGAAAACAATAAAAACCAGGTTGTCCTTACCTCTTATACTCTATAACCACTCTTCCTACCCAATCAATCACACATCCTAGGTCTATTGTAAGATTGAAATTTTAGTGTGTTCTTGTCTCAGTCCACCAATGATCACATCAGAAGGGAAGACCACAAGTACAAGAACTGCATGTCAGCTAACAACTGAAGTAGAGTATGATGGGAGGTAACAGCTTGCTTTAGAAACACGAGGTGCCAGATTGTGCCAGGTTTGGTCAGACAGCATAGTTTATAATAAGGACAGGACACTGAAGAGTGATACTGTCAGTGCCAGCTCTCAAAGTTTTAGTTTGGTTGTAGTAGAGAAAACCAGAATGGCCATCTGTTGCAGTATGATAACGGTGGTGGTGGTAGGGTGGGGTGTGGTAGTCTGAACTATGAGTGTGATACTGCTGGATAAAGACATGACATTAAAAAATAGATAATGAAGGAGGGTGTAGTGAACATAGCAATCATTTCAAATTCATAAAAAAGTAGTATTGGTCATGAGTTGCAGGACCTTGGGTAAGTCTCTCTGTGAACTAAGTGCTTATGACTAGATTAACTGCTTCAGCTGTGAAACATCTTATGAAAACAGAACTGAGAAGTTAGGTGGTAGAAAGAAAAAGTGCCCCGTTTCTTTCTTGTGTTATCTATAATGAAATATATAAAGGACTAAATACTTAAGAGTCTGGTGTATAAAATCCTGCGACAAGTGTTTTAGGATAAGCAGAGTGTGGAAGATAGCTTTAATACTGGACATGGGGAGACAAAGGCAGGTGGATCTCTATGAATTTCAGGCCAGCCTGGTTCTAATCCTGAGTTCCAAGCTAGTCAAGGATACATAGATTTCTCAACAAACAAAAATTCTAGATTATTTGAAAAACTGTATGTGACCATTAAAAAAAACTAAATTAATAACTCAAATGATACTAACTTTATAAGCATTACAAAGTTGAAAAAGGCAAGCAATATGTTAAAAAAACTACAAATACTTGAGCTAACTTTTAAATTAATATATCAAGTTTAAAACTTAAATTACTCATTTCCTAGCTTCTTAACTGGTGGGTGCACTTCTATATGGGGCCATGCACCTGAATATGGGCACTTAGATTAACAGAGCCACAGTAAAATGTTCTGAACACACAATGATCAATAATTAATTCAATATCAAATGTGTAAATAGGAAGATGTATTTCTGGATGTATACCCTCACAGTGAATCACAATTTCACTGTAAAATCAGTCCTTAATACACAGTATTCTGCATGGGGTAATGCCAATGAGAGCTGCGAAACACCCTGGCTCTCACTCAAGACTATGCAGATTAAGAATCCTAGTGTTTTTACTGTTCATACAAAGGCTTCTATTCTATAGAAACACAATGGCTTATTTAGGGAAAATAAAGAATTTCTTATTGTTGTTCCTCAGTAAATATCAAATTTTTGTATCGTTTGTATCATTTGTACTACACATGTTTGACTTAACAAACCGCTATTTGAGATGTTGTTTAAGTTTCATAAAACACCAATAAATACCTTTTGCCTTGCTGTGATCATGAAATAATTTCCAACCATTCCTAAAATGGCCCTAAGCAAACCTCTGCCATTTTGTACTACGAATTATAAAAAGGTGACATTCTTGCTATACCAGATCATTAAAAAAAACCCGATGAATTCTGAAGTTTTTAAGAAGACCACTTACTTCATTAGTATTCAAATTTGCTTTTGCCTTTGATAAATGGTAAATACATGTATTCTCAATCTCCAAAGAACTGCTGCTTTAAAGTAAATTCCTTTATTATTTATAAAGATATGTACCCTTTTGATCTGTATATCTATTACATACTTATATATTCAGGATCACAGAAGATTGCTAAGGTAGAAAGAGGTTGTGGGTGGAAAAGTTAAAGAAGCCTAGCTGGATGAGGAAGCCTCAACTAGTTGAAACAGAATCACTTAATTATAACTTAAGAGTTACCTCATGAAAGACAGTTGCATTAAAAACATTTAAAAATAAACTGACCCTTCTGAAAGCAGAATCCACAAACCAATTAGGTAATTAGTAAGCTGATGATACAGTCATTAATAATAGTAAAGTGAACTAATTAAATCTGAGATAAATAGGGCAACAATTGCCATATGAAAGATATTTACTCCACAGAAATATAAGAAATTTAAGGAGTTCAGCTTTTAAGATTAAAATTGAACACATATACATATTTGTACCTCTGGGATGTCACCATTTTGACCTAAGAGTCTCATTTCGCTTTCCACTCGATGAAGCCAATTAGTATTCTCATCAAATTGTTTTAACACCTCTTCCTTCTTTTTCTCTACGAAACAGCGAACAGTTTTCAACCTTTGAAGTCGGTGATTTCGTTTGCAAGTGGCCTGAAATATAATACTGAATTTAATAATATTGCTAAATTTTATATTTGCTGTGTACAACATTAAAAGTCATGCATTTTCTTATTTTGGTATAGTATGTTAAGCCATACTACTATTGTCCTATTAAAATATAACAGAAAATAGAAAATCAGTTGTGAGTTATTTAATAAAATTACATCTTGGGATTTTTATGGGTTTAAGGAACACAGTGGTCAAATGGAAAACTGAAATTTTTTTACATGATACATTTGTAAAGTTCATATAAGGTTAGATAAATTCCATGCTTTCCCAACTCAAAAAAGCATGAACACTCTGTACTTGTTTTCAATCTGGAAGACATGAAGAAAGAAACAAAGTTCTACTGATTTAATTTGTTGCTCTAAATGACAGAAAAAAGTATGAGAACTTGCCTATAGTCAAGGCTGAGAACACTCTTAGAATACTCTTAATGTCTTTGGTATTCATGAGTATTTTCAGTCAGATTTGGCCTTCTGTTGGCCAACGACTCTGTCCTTCATAGGTAATAAATCATTACTTTTGGTGTTTCTAAAAATTAATTAATATTTACAGGTATGTAACATAAACAACTAAGAGCATTTTCACTTTGGTGGAGGATATTAGTTTGTAAATATTTAGTGTTAAGTCAGTGTGGTTGCCATTAAGCCACAGATTCTTGATATTTATACATTTAACTTCCTTCATAGGAAAACAAGATGTTCAAGGAAAAAAGAAGACTAGAATCAAATGATCAGGGACAGTGGCTAACAAGCAGTCATTCTCATGAGGATTCTTAGGTCTTTATTGTCATTTGTCTGGTTATATCCTAAATAATTTTTTCTCATGGCAAGACCTTAGCAAAACAAAACAGCAGTTTAAACAAACAAAATACCTGTCTTTTCCCTAAAGAGGAAGGATGGAATACAAAATGCTAACGTGACAAATGCCACACTTGCAAAGGTTCTCTAACTTTGGGGCAAACTTAAAGGCACCCGTAGTTTTCATATGGAAATGCCTGGGATCTTTTCAGGCGATTTATTTGGTCAAAATAAATTTTAATTCTTTACAAAATTTCTAAGAGACTCATTTATTTGAACATTTTGCTTGGACAAAAGAACATACACTATGTGTATTCCTGGTGCTGACAGAGGTCAGAAAAGGCCACAAGATCACCATGAACTGGAGTTACAGATGGCTATGAACCATCACATGGGTGTTAGAAACTGAATGCAGGTCCTCTGCAAGAGTGACAAGTGCTCTTAACCACTGAGTCATCTCTCCAGACAGCCTCTTTAATCCTAATGGTATATCAGGGTAAGAGTGTTCCAGGAGCTAACAGAGGTGTAAGGTCACTACAGAACATCACAGAAAAAGATAAGAGAATGCAACTGTTGTGAAGACAGCATACAGTTGGAAGGATGTAAAACAAAGCTATGGCTCTCCTAAGCTGTTTTTTGTTTTAGAAAATAATTAGTTATCTTCATAAAACTATAAGAAAACAAGAATTTCTGTAAATCGCATTAGTAATTTCTAATACAGTATCAGTGGACAGTCTCTATAAATAAAGATCTATGAAGTTCAAGATAGTTTTAATGGCAGAAAAGGGTCCTAACTTTGATGCTTAGAGAGTGCTACAGCAGGAAGTGGGAGATGAGACATTTTGACTTTCTTCTGCTATTCAGAAAGTGTGAAAACTCAAGCAAGTCAACCTCAGAGGGTCGTCAATCACTTTATTTCTGAAAAATGAAGATAAAGGGGCTATCCCTATTGAAGATAGTGGTTAAATTACATTTACTTTGCCTTAACATTCACAACTGTTCAGAAAGGTTCTAGCTGAAACTCAAAAAGGATAATTTTGACTTTTAATGCTCATTAAATATATTCCGTACAGTGATGGGTATTCAGGACAAAGTGGCACATTTCCTCACTGAGATTGAAAACATGACTCTAAAATTTGAGGTGTCAATATTGCTTTATGCAAATACAAAAGCAAATAAACAAACAAGCAAAAAACTCACCACTAATATGCTATGACACTCTTGTCAATTTGACAGAATTTAGAATTGCCTAAGACAGCAGTTCTCAACCTTCTTCATGCTGTGAGCCTTTAACACAGTTCCTCATGTTGTGGTGAGCCCCCAAATCATAAAATTATTTTTTGTTGCAACTTCATAATTGAAATTTCATTACTATTATGGATCATAATGTAAATATCTGTGTTTTCCAGGAATCTTAAGCAACCCCCGGGAAAAGGATGTCCAACTCCCAAAGGGTTTGAGACCCACAGACCTAAAATAAAAGCTTTTGGGAAAGTTCTCAGAATGTTTCTAGATAGGTTTAACTGAGGAAGTAAGATTCATCTTAAAAGAGGAAGCATCAACTCAAGTACTGGTGTCCTGGTCTGAAAAAAAAGGAGATAACATTTTGTTCACACATTATCTATGTTATATTTGGTTTAAATTTCTTAGTTTTCTTTTCCAGTTTTGAAATACCAATTTCGATTTCTGCAGTATCAAACATGCAAAAAAAAAAAAAAAAAACCTAAGAACTAAAGCACAAGTTCTAGCATTAGTGTACTAGAGCTTAAATCATAGCTCAGCTACCTATGGTTGTGTACTACCTCTGACAAAATGGCTTACCCATGTCCTTGCTTAGAAAGGAGAATAATAAATACCTCATGGGAGTTTCTGACAATGAGGTGAACTGCCTGAACATTGCCTGATAGTGAATAAATCCTTTAAAATCTGAAAATTTCATTTGCTTTTCTCATGTTGTGACCCTCACATTCAGCTATTCCTTACTGATAATGTTTTTATCTTTGATTTTTTTTTTTTTGTCTTCAGTTTTACAGTTCCCAGTAGATTAGTCCAGTGTCTATAATTCCTGGGATTTCTTTCTGTCTGAAATGGTAAGTCTGCTGATTCCTATCTATGGCGACTGTAAGAGATAGAGTTGAAGGTTTATTTCCCAGAGTAGTTTTGCATTGCTTTTGCTAGGTTTCCCAGTGGTAGCATTAGTTTGATGCCACTTTGTCAACTTTAGATATTTCCTAAATAAAACACTGTTTGTTAAAGCCTAGACCATAACCATTTTGGAATGCACACTGTTAATACTGGAAGTTGGTCAGCACTTTATTAGGATCATACAGCAATGGATAGCAAGAACAGCGATCAAGTATTCTTTCTGAATAATAACAAAAATATCTCCATGTGGCCGAAGTTGTAAAGTGTCACCCGCATCTTGAGTAGGCTGCCTCTCCTGTCCCTAATGTTCTACAGGCTCTCAAAAGAGAAACAAGTTTTTTTTTTTTTTTTTTTTTTTTTTTTTTTTTGGAGTCAAAGCATTTTTTTTTAAATTTATTATTTTACATGTCGATCCCAGTTCCCTCTCCCTCCCTCCCTCCCTCTCTCCCTCCCTCCCTCCCTCCCATCCTCTCTCCATCCTTCCCTCCCTTTTACCCTCTCTGCCCTCTCACATGCACTCTAAACACCCTCCCCTCCCATCCGCCAACCCCAATTCCATATGTAGGGGAATGCCATTCAGGTGGGGTCATGTAGATCTGACAGGTCATGTGAAGTAGGGACTAGGGCTTCTCTCCTGTTTCTAGATTAAGGCAGTTATCCCTCCATGGGGGATGTGTTCGCAAAGTCCTTTTGTGCACCAGGGATACAACCTGGCTCCACTGTCTGAGGTCTCTTAGACTGCTCAGTCCTTCTGGCTGAGACCCATATTCAGGGGGGCCTGAGTCAGTCCCATGCTAGCTTCCCAGCTATCAGTCTAGTGGCCGTTAGCTCCTCCTTGTTTAGGTAAACTGTCTCTATGTGTTTCTGCCGCACGGTCTTGTCCTCTCCATCTGCTTCTGGGTTCTAGTTCAACTCAGTGTTTACGTATGGGTGTTTGATCCTGTTTTCAACAGGCATTATTTGAGGGCTCCATGGATAAGTTAGTTGTTGATCTCACTCTCCGGGAAGGGCATTTATGACAGCCTTTCCACGGAAGCTCAAATTGTTAGTTGGGAGCAGTCTTGTAGTTCTCTAGACCTTTCTTTGTGTTCAATTTTATCTTCAAACCAATATTGGCTCCCTCTTTTATGTTCTCTCTCTCTGTCTGTCTCTCTCTTTCCTATCTTCTATTCCTAACCAGACTCAATCTTCCTGGTCGCACATGTTTTCCCTTTCCTCCCCCTCATTTTCTCCTACTTCTCTCTCCATTCGCTGCCCCCCCCCCCCCACTTAACCTGAGCTCTGGAGGACTTGTCCCTTCCCAGTTCTGTGAGGGACTTTATATGAATCTCTTAGAATATACCTTGTACCCTAGTTCCTCTGGTGATGTGAATTATAGGCTGGTGATCCTTTGCTCTAGGTCTAAAATCCATATATGAGTGAGTACATAGTGTGTTCAAGAGGAACAAGTTTAACTAAGCATTTGCTTTTCAAAGTTTCCTCTGGCTCACATACTATTTCCATGTTTTTTTAGAGAATGGGTAAGAAACAATGTTTATTAAATTTCTAGAATTAGATTTCCATGTTCTCTGTAATTTAGGCATAAAGTAGTTAAATACCTTTTCTACTTTGTCTTCTGAACACATCATCTCTATTTGGTGATGGCACTGCTGTTGATAGAGTGACTTGAGTTCATTTTCTTTAAGCAACATTTCTAATTTCAGATATTCTTGCCTGATTCCTTCTCGATTCTGGAACAAGCATTTCAGAATTTCTTGAAATCTACCAAAAATAAAACATATCATTTTATTTCATTAAATTTGTACTATCTAGTATATAGCTTACTGAAATGACACATATCACTCAGATTGTACTTGATGATAAACAGCAGGTCAGAACTACATTCCTCCTACCATAAAAGTGCTGAGAAGGCAGTATCAACTTTATTTTTTTACTGTAGGTTTCTTTCTGCTGCAAAACAAACCATGTTGTTTATATATTTTGGTGTCACAAGGTCTCTGATATTAGTAATATGTTGTATTTTATCATATGTAGTCATACTGCGCAGCAAAAATGCAAAGGATGATAACCTAGATCTGTAATATGACAATTCTCATAGCCCTATTAGCAGCAGAGCATCACGTGCTGTTTGGTGTTGGCTTACAGTGAAGAAAAAGCAATAGGAGGCATTATCATATGGTATCTCCATGGCCCCCTAGGGAAAATGAGAGAACCAGTTTTAGCCTCAAAGATTATTATAGTGAAAATACACCATAAGGTTAGGTACCCCCTACAGCTTGGCAAAAAGTCAGCTGACACTGGCAGGACCCAAAACATCCAAGTTAACAATGTGGCAAACCTAGAAACGTGGTTGTGGTTTACTTTTCTAAAGGGCAAAATAAAGAATTCAATTTGTGGAGTTTATTAGGCCCCCAAGGAGCCAATGATTCAAAACCGAATAAATTTTATGAAAAACTGAGAAAATGCATAGTTTGGCAACTTCTAGGACAAACAGAACACGGGTCACAACAATATTTTAGTCTTACAGATAATCTCACACAGGCAAAATTATTTATTATTGAAGAAAATTAAGTACAAGGCCTTTAGAATAAAATAAAGTCTGTGCATTTAAAAATAAATGTTCTTTGGGCAGTTTTGGATATATATTTGTAAGGATCTGTGGTAAAGGTACTGCCAATTTACGTCAGTAGTTCTTAATGAAACCCTCCTGGGAATGAAGATAAACCACAGTACATTGACTTTCCTGTAGTTTTGTTCAGCTGATGAATATTTCATAGGAAGCACATGCGGATATTGTGATTTCACCGTCCTGTATTACACCAAGGCTAGTGCCAGTAAATGAACTGATAAGTTATCTTTAGGTTATACCCTAAGACAATATCATAGTATTCATAACTTTTTGATATAAGGACAAAGTTGAACTATATCAAAATTTTAATTTTGTGGTCTAAACACTTTACTTAGTGTTTACTGTTTACTAAGGAAAGAAAGTAATCATTATCAAGGGTTTCTAGGTTGCATCTTAAAATTAAAAAAAAAATAACAGAAATAAATCTTAAGGGAATGAGTAGTATTTTCTAGTCATTTAGGACATTTAAACTAACTAGAAACAAAATTTTTCATTAATATTTTTAGGTAAGACACAAGACCATATCACTTCCTTGGTATAGTAATAATAGAATTTTTACAACTATTGCTAAATAAAATGTATTTTCCTTTTAAGATTCCCTTTTGTATACTGGCGCAACAAAAATTTGAGTCAGAAAATATTGCATATTTTCCCACTGTCTTCAGAAAATGCACAAAAATGTTATTGAAGTTTTATGGAAACCAAAGTTTTAAAAGGGTAACAACTGCCTCTGCTGCAGAGGAATCTAATGCCTCTGACTTCCTGTACTCCTATGCACATAAATATACACACATAGAAATCCCTCCCACATATACAATTAAAAATCTTGAGAGACACACACACACAGAGATAAATGATTAAATTCATCAACTCCAAAAATGTTTCCTAATTTGTAAGTCTACTCTCTTTCCTTCACCAGAACTGCAGCACCCACCAGGGACTGAACCGAGGGCCTCACATGGTAGGCAAGCACTCACTCGTGAGCTGTTATCACCATGACTTTCAATTTTGAGATACAATCATCCTAAGTTTTCCAGTCTTGACTGGAAACTGCATTCCTCTGCCTCAGAATCCTAAGTAGCTGGGACTACAATTTAACTGGCAAATTACACAGGGTTAATGTTGACAAATTTATAAAAATAACCACTCCAACTTTTGAAAATTGGTAGTTTAATATCAAAGAAAACTGTATTGTATTAGCACTACTGTCATGTTTAAATAACAAAAGTAATATTCACTAGAACATTACATCAGAGTAGAAGTTTTCTTTGAAAGGAATAAATGAGGGCCAGGAGGTGGTAGCACAAGCCTTTAATCCCAATTCTGGAGGCAGAGGTAGGTAGATTTCTGAGTTCAAGGCCAGCATAGTCTACAAAGCCAAGTTCTAGGTAGGATAGCCAGGATGATACACAGCTGTCTCAATAAACAAACACATAAATGAGGAACAAGGAAACACTTATAAATTTTTTAAGATAAGAAAATTTGCATGGAATTAAAATTTTATATGCCAAATAAAATACTAACAATTTAATATTCTAATGGGTCACTTGCAGAGTTAGCAATTTCAACACAAGGGAAAAACTAGTATGCTTAGTACCCTTGCACTTTAATAGCACACAGGGAAACCTAATGAGATGCAAAACTGACTTTTGTCACCAACAGAAGTAACTGTCAGAATTATATGTGATGTTTGCAAAACAGTACAAAGTGAAAATAGAGGACAAAGCCTAATACTTCTGGGCCAGTTAAGATGGGTGAGTCCTGAAAGTTGTCTCCTGACTTATACCTACCTACTTTCCTACATACACGCACATACACAATATTTTAAGATAATTTAAATTAGGGAGTTCTTACTACACTCTGTAATTGAGAAAACGATACCTCTATTAATTCTAATTAAAAAAGAGCTATAGTAATTGGTTGAAATTAATACTCTAAGACTCAACATAATCTACAAAGCTGTCAATAAAGTTTAGGGAGAAAAACAAAGTGGCAGCACTCAATAACATAGTATTAAAAGGACAAGTTTACAAGTTGTCTCATAGAGAAAACAGACCAAGAAATAAGGGTCTTGAGTGGTGGAAAGAAGATGGTGGATCAACTTGGACAGGAAATGTTATTCTATCATTCTACATCACTGCAGGGTTTACTCAGTTCATAATTTGAAATTAGTAAGTGAATTAGTGGGTCTATATAGAATCAATAAAAACTGACCATATTTTCATAAAACTATTCAAGTACTAATAAAAAAAAAAAAAAAAAAAAAAAAAAAGCACCATTCAAAATAAACTGGCTTCACAGATGACAGAACCAGCTTTTCCTCCTGCTTTTCCCAGCGGTAAAATAACCAGCTGCTTTCTAAAGTTCAAATACAAAGAACAAACAAGTGCATTTTCTGAATTCAAGTGAGATGTATACGTAGCTATACATACATATATGATACATAATTAAAGAAAGACTATAATTTATAACTACATTTCTCAAGCGATTTTAATAGTTTTACCTTTTAATCTCTTTGACTTGAATGTTTGAAGGTACTGATTTTGCACTGTCATTTTTGTCAGTCAAAGCTTTCTGTTCTTCATAGGCTTTTAGTTTTTCTTTCAACATTAAAATCTAGCAAAGGAAACACTAATTAAAATACAAATCAAGTTATTTGTCTTCATTCATTTTACATAGCCACAGTAAAAGTTCAGTTATCAACAATAATCACACACCAGGTTCCCACTATAATAGGAAATGCATTAAATTTTGAACAATAAGGAAGAAAGCATCCCTTAAGGGAAGAACTGCAGGTAATAATAGATCACTGAGAACAGTAGACATACCTCTGCTTTCTGCATATTACAGATCTTTACATATTGAGATATGTGACTGTTGACATTAAGAACATTGCTCTTCAACTGCCAAAAGAGAGAAATTATGATTACAGTCACATAGTTAAGATAGCACAAAGTGGCACTGTATCTCATAAACTTGACTTTACCAATTTTGAACTTTTAACAACTATAAGTGATCATCATGATTAAATATAACTATATTTAAAATTTGTAATGAGAATATGTTGAAATTATAAACAAATTGGCTTACTTAAAAAATATGTTGTGTTTATACATAATAATAAAAGTAGCCTATTTATTCAAGAAATTCAGAATTGTTTTATGCTTGCATTCATATTAGTTTCTTATTACTTTTCATATTGTCTACAACAGTATAACCCCATAAACATTTACATGGGGAGAAAATTACATAATTTTTAATATTATAGAAATTTCTAATTTGAATTAGAATCAAGTACTTAAAGTTCTTCAAGCTTTGGCCCACATAGATATAAAATGGAGCATAAAAAACAAAACTAGAAAACTTTACAATGGGTTGGAGTAAGGACATGAAAAATGTGAGAAAATCTTTGTACACTCATATACTTCGGCCTTTTATAAAAATAGTATATGGACATTTCTCACAGGGTGTCACACTGCTCATCTTCAGACACTTATAGGAGGAAAATGAATAGTCAAGAGGATAGGCATCATAGCAAATTAACTGAGGTCTCTTCTGAACTAAGGTCCTGTAATTTTAAAGTAGGTATGTTTTCACCTGATTGTTTTTAAAGTATCCCAAAATTTAGACAAAGAACATTTCTCTAAGTAGTCACTGTTACATTCCTTGATTTAGCACAATTTATGTGAAAATTCATTCATAAAGCATGTTATAAACCAAGGTAGGTATTATTAGTCGGTGCGCAGATAAATTGCAATATCACCCATAAATGTTTCTTACAGTAAATATAAAAATAGATTTAACTATATCAAATCCTTGGCTAATTACTATGTCATGCTATCCAAGCACCATGTACCATGATGTGAAGAATAACAAGTACTCCAGGACTCATAAGAATGAACAGCAACATCCACTGTGAAGTAATTAAGATGCAAAAACTGTGTGACTAAATTAACATTCAGTAACCAGGACTTATATTGCCAAATTCATTAACAGAAACATAACCCTAATTAAGACTTTAGTTAAATATAAAAATAGAATATACCTAATACTCTCACGACAAAGTCAAAGTAAATGCACTTACCGAAGATTTAATGTCTTTTGCACGATTAGCATACTTAAGAGTGTTATATGTGTCGTCGTAAAACAAAGAGGAAGGACTAACAGCAGCTATCATTATAGTCTGACAGTTCCCTCCAAGAGAATCCTTCAACAAGCGAGTAAGCTTACTATTTCTATAAGGAATATGCTGATTCCTTCTCTGAAAGAACAAAACAAGAATTCTTATTTCTTTTTCCACACTACTACTTACTACTATTTCTTTAGAAGAACTTAAGCAATGCCCAATGATATAATTGGTGTTTGACTGCTGCAAATAGATCTTGAGTAGTCAGTGACTATTATGAAAGTCCTAATTATAGCTTCAGTGTGTAGAGAAAGGTGTCTGCCCTAAAGTCCTCAGTGTAGTCCCTGGAACACACATATCAGAAAGGAGAACTAGCTCTGGGATGCTGTCCTCTGACTTGCACATGTACACAAACACAGTAAGAAAATAAAAATTATACAATTCCACCTGAAATTTACATCTCTAAGAACAAACTTCACAACAAAACAACTATCAAGGTTGGTTTTTTAGTTGTAGGTGACATTTTAAATATATCTGAAAAGATGACAAAAAAGGTTGGTGTGGCAATATGTGGCTATAATCCTACCTTCTTGGTAGGTAGACTGGATGGCAAAGCAAAATTATATTTCCAAAACAAAATAAAACTTCCCAAACAACTAACCCCCACAAAAACAAACAAAACAACAACAACAAAAAACAAAAATCATCTCAAATACAAAACAAACAAAAAAAAAAACAAAAAAAAAACAAAACAAAACAAAAAAAAAAACAAAAAAACTAAGCTAACAGGGAAACTAGGCATGAGATACATATTTAAGATGTGCATCATCTTTTTTTCTTTAAAATAAACACAAAAATAAATCATACAAGGTTGCATTCATCCTCCAAAAATCTCTTAAGTGATTATGTCCACCAATGATCTTACATCAATCATTCTAAAATTGATAGAGTATCATGTTAGCATTGTTTATTCCTTATCCCAGGGACTTCCTGCTTTTATATTTTTGCATAAATATACTCATAGTATGGTTGCTGCTAGATCACATCATAACTTTCTTTTTAAGAATTAAATTTATTGATTTATTTTAAATACTGAGTGCAGTCTTTCCTCCCTCTTCTCTCCTGTAATCCACCCCCGACCCCTGGTGCTCCCAATCTATTCCTCCCCTGTTTCTGTCCAGAAAAGGGCAGGCCTCCCCACGAGTATCAACAAAGCATAGCATATCAAGTTGATGTAGGATTAAGCAATGTGCATCATCTTTGAATCTAATTCTATTTGGAAAAAAAGAATTCTTTATAAAACCATTTCTACTATAAAGAGACAACCACAAACCTCTACACAATACTCACAGAAATAAATAAATGTAGTTAAATATTTGAGTAAATAGTTAAATTAGAATACTTAATATTTAGTTTAAAGATACAGCTCTCAATTTCACATATGAAACTTTGTAAAAGGAACAAATTTTATATAAAGATTCATCAATATTAAAAATCAATGCTATCATCACATAACTTTCATATAAGAGAAGTATAAATTATGGCAAACATCCTCTACTTTGGTGGCTTAACTTTACAAATCAATAGTATATCATTCGCAAATGTTTGAGTCTTCAACTCTGAATGTAAAACATGCTACTTTTTCAATGGTCAGGTAATTTTAGTAACTTGCTCTCTTAAGAAAGTCTTCCTAATTTTAAAATATTATTCTAAATTAAAGTAACACCTTTAACAATTTATCAGTAATTTTCCTAATGCTATTTAAGCCTGCATTAGCTTCAATTACCACACTTTAAAAACAAATTAATGTACTGTCAAACATACTATACACTAGAAAGTACTTCTGGTATACATTGCATGTAAAATAGTTTTAAATGCCTCAAAGCATTTACTAGTCATCCCATCATATAATAACACTTTAGATAGCCCTTAAACCTCTTCTTTTCCTTCTTAATCTTCTGTATTATGTCAATTTTATAGTACATTATAAAATACTAACTAGAGTTGCTCTAAAGCTTTTTGTTTCAATGTCTTCTTGTCAATTCACTAAATCATTCTTGCTGTCTAATGATCATCAAATAGATGTTTACAATGAAGTTCAAAGCTGGAAGATTGAAAAAAAACAACCATTGTGGAGTCTGGTAGAAAAGGCCTGTAATTACAGCTGAGACAAGAGGCTAGAAAGTTTAAGACCAGATTAAACAACTCATTTGAGATCCTGTCTCAAAAAACAACCGGGTATAGCTGTCCTTTCCCAATGCATGTGAAGTACTGGGTTCATTCCCACAAAGTATCACAAAGTTGCATGCACACCCTCTCACAAAACAACAACCAAAAAATGACACTCATGCAGCAATGTGTGACAGCTCAGAGTCACTTATGTCTATGATCTACATCTACAACATGTTCTAGGAACTATTTGTCAAAACATTAGCAAGTAAACATATATTACCTACCTTCGTATCTGCTAAAGCGTTGATGACATTTCCAAGGGCTAAAAGAGATTTATTAATATTTGTGCCTTCTACAAATCGTGTCCCTTTAGCACCAGAAGTTCTGGCCCTCTCAGATCCTGCCAGGTCAATAAGTGACATTTTGGCTACATGGACATTTTGATTGATGCTTGCTGTTTTGTCCTGTTGTCGCAAATAAATCTTAAATTATAGAATAGGGGAAAATGAGAGTGAAATTTAATAAAATTAAAGGAAATGTTTTATTTTCAAAAAATACATATACATGAAGACAAAATCATTCTCCTTTTAAAAACTAATACAACCACGTATTATCTGCCTGATAGTCAGTACCAGAATTACTGGTTAAGAAAAATATGAAAATGAAGACTGGTATATGAGTTTTGATATCAAAGGCTGCCCCAAAGGCCCATGTGTTAATTGCCTAATAGATCTGTCTATATGTAATATGGGCTACTTGTGGGGAAGGGTCTACCCCCCTCCTGTTTGTGTGTGTGTGTGTATGTTTGGCTATGGTGAATGGATCAACTGAGTTCAAGAGTTTGAGAACAACCTACGCATATGATATTGTCCCTTATATTTTGCAAAAAGCAAAGAGGGAAGCAAGTGGTAGGTTTTTGATCAAGGGAAGAATAGGATACTGGCTCTTCTCTATTCCTATTAATTTTCACGTTCAAATTACAAGGTAAGTAACATGTCATTCAATGATGTGCTGCTTTACCATGTTGACACCAGACTGAAACATCCAGCCCTCTGAGTGAAAATGAGCTGTTCATTTATGATTTGATCATTTCAAGTATTTCAGCTGCTCAGGAAGGTTTAAGCTATTTTAAACTATTCAAAGGGACATTTTTTTTTTTTTTTCCTTCCTTTTTGAGACTGGTGGTCATATGGCTACAAGTTTACCAGTCAAGGATGACCTTGAACTTCAGAATCTCTCCTCTCTAACTCTGAAACACCAGAATTATAGGTCTGAGGCACTGTGCCTAACTGGTGTTAGAGATTAGAATTTGAATTTCATGTATATTAGGGATGCACTCTACCAACTGGGCTACCTCCCTTATATAACCATCTTCCATTGCTTTGTACATTGCAACTGAAAGAAGATAGGTGCATGAGAAATAAAGAAATATCAAATACATTCCAGAGAACTCTCGTCATACACATTTCTCTGAAGATTACTAATAAAGAAAATGTCAGTAGAAGAGAAAAGATCAATAAAACTACTGACGAGACACTATCTGAATGGCTTGACTGTCTTAGATATGAACTCTTTCAGCTGTAACAATTACTTCTTGATAAGATGAATTTCACAGGTCAGTAAGAATGGAAAACATGCTTGCTGCCAAGCTTGACGGACTGAGTTGCATTCCCAGACACAACAATGGTGGAAGGAAGAGTAACAATTTTCCAAAGTACTTTGTCATCTACACACACACCATGGCACACTGATACCCACATACATACATACGACTCACAAATAAGTATAACATGTTTTCTAAAAGCCAAAAAAAAAAAAAAAAAAAAAAAAAAAAAAGAACTTCACATAGCATCATAGCATAATCTACAATACAACTTTACATCAATAACCATTTGGATATAAACAGCACCAGAAACTACAAACAATAATGGATATCTATGGCTTTGGATCTTTGTGGACATTTTCTCCAATACAGTACTGTGTCAGCTGAATCAGTCTTAAGGATAGGTGAAAGGAAGATGAAGACAGAGAATCTTATTGTTAAACATTCCTCTGAAGACTACCGACTGACCGATAAGGTAGAAGTCAGTGAAAGAGAAACGATCAGTGGAGCTACTGAACAGAATTGATTACATGGTCAGTGTCTTCCATCTCTACTTTACCATTCCCCATGTGTTTGACGTAAGGTCATATCAATCTAAATGTTTTTGATGTTGTACTTTTATGAGCAAAGTGGGCTGGGGAGGCATCTTAGTATTGTATGGAATATACTCTTCATGCTAATGACTTGACTTTACTGGGCAAGGAGTCACAGTGCCTGAAATCCCAACTACTCAGGAGTAAATGGGCTAAAAGGAACTGAAGTTAAGGCTGGCCACTGCTACTTAGTGACTTCAAAGCTAATCTGGTCAACTTAATGAGATTATGTCTTAAAGTAAAACAGCAAACAAAAGTGGCAAAACTGAAGTGCTAAGGAACAGAGAGGTTTATAGATGAGACTTTGCTGCCACATATGAAAATTATTCATGCAATTGGCTATATTCTAAATTCCAACCTAAAGGCCGGATACCTGGAAAACAGCATGTGAACGTGAAGACGTAGCATTCATGTCGGTGGGATGCTGTGTCCTGTTTTTGTTTCCATTGTCTAGTAGCTGTAATATTTCCTCTGAGGATTTGGGCTAGGAGTTCAAATAGAAAAGCAATATTTAGTAATGTATCGTTCAATTTTCAACCAACTTTTATTTATTTAAGTGCCAGGAACTCAAACCCAAGGCTTGATGAATGTGAGCAAAGTTTTCAACCACTGGGCTATCTTAGCCCCTCAGTAAACTTGCTCATCAAACAATAGTTTTAAAGGTAGAAGGTAAAAGTGTTCTATGAATTCACTCTTAATAAATATTGATTATGTATTATTTGTTTAGTACTTGGTGATATATAGGGTAAGAGGTAAAATATTCCCTGAGATAAAAATATAAACATTTAACAGAATAATAAATTTTCAGTCAGATTTTTAGCAGGAAAATAAAATCCCTCAGTGAGAGGAAGAAACAAGAATAGTCAATAAGAGGCAGTAGAATGAAGCTATCCTCAGTCTGCTCTTTATTTTGCTAGTATCTTTGTGACTTTGGAAGAATCACCCAGGCCTTTAGAACCTTTGCAATTCACCTCAGTCTAAATTTCATTAGTTTGTTTGTATTTCAAACACAATGGATTGAACTAATAGATGGTAGAAATGGAATCTGCAGATTTGCTATTCTAACAGAAAGAAAAGACATTCATAAACTTACCTGGTGTAAAGTGAGACCCTGAACAACCACTCCTTTTTGGGCATCTTCCCGGACAGCAAGTGGCCCTGAGTTTGTCAAGAGGTCACGAATCTGTTCATTATATACCTTAAAATAAAATGAGCCACAATAACAGTAGAGTCTAAATAACAAGTACATTGCTGGCTGAAGGTCTATAATCCCAGATTTTGATGACATCAGTTTACAATTGAATATTAATGCTGGAGTTATTATATTCTCACCACTAATTCCTGTTTTGACAACTCTCACAAAATGAAGACAAGCCAGCTTTCTTACCTCTGAAAAAAACACACCAAATTCAGAGTCTATATGTTAAACAAAAACCCAGTCAAAAACAGGTGTATTTACGTCAATTAATCCTTCCATTTCAGTCTAATACACAATTAGTAACAGTCTCTCGCATTTGAATTGCAGAGCAACTAAGAGCCACATGTTTATAAAATGAACAGCAGGGTATAGATTGAAGCTTGGATATTCTTTACAGTCTACACTGAACACACATCTTAATTTCCTACCTGCAGGATCATGTAAAAGAGATTTGCACAAATACTAATTAGAAATAGCATGACTGACTTCATTTTATGGATCTAGTAAAGGCATAACATTTAGCATTTGCTAATGGGATGATAAATAGGAGTTCTGGAAAAAAAAAATTTAATACTAATCAGAAAACCAGGCCTCTAAAAAAACAGTTTTCTGGGCTGGTGATAGAGTTTGTGGGAAAGCATCCTGCATTATCAAGATTCATTACATTCTAGATGTGATCTTAAGCATTGAAAAAAAAAAAAATTACACAGACCTACAATGAGACATAGTAGGTGTGTATGTACCAGCACTTCCTTTCATGTTCTAGTAGCCCACAGTATTTTTCTTTTTCTGGTATAACTCTACTCTCAATGATAACATTGTTAAAAAATGTAATACACTTAATTAAGGGAGTAGACACCTTTCCTTTAGATCTTATTTTTCTAATATGTAGCAGTTACTCTTGACAGCTTACCTTCTCTTGCTTCAACTATGGCGAATGAATACTCTTAAGGTGATCTAAGAAAGCCAGTTACCTGGAGAATTTCTTTTTTAAAGATTTAATCACTTTATTATTTTTGTGTATGAGTGTTTTGTCTGCATGTATGTCCACGTGCCACATGGGTGCTGGGAATAAATCCCGGGTCCTCTGCAAGAACAAGTGGTCTTAACCACTGAGTCAACTCTCTAGCCCTTACCTGGTGATTTTAATAGGCACAGATGCCTTGGCTATAGTAAGGAGTGAAATGTAGCCAGACCTATTTCTAGAATGTAACAGAGATAATCTTGGTGCAGTGTCTCAACGATCAAGATCTAATAAGAGAAATATCCTGATACCAGAAATAAATGCTTATTTGCCATTTCCAGTGAAATTGGGGCTTTCTACAATACTATCTGAGCAAAGAATCACTGTCTTTGAGACCTCAAAGAATGACAGCGTATGACAAAAGAGTAGCAGGAGCACAAAGGAACTTTGGCTGACCAGTCCTTTACAATATGAACACACAGAGAGCAATCAGAAATATGGTCCCGACATATAGGAGGCTGAGGTAGGAGGATCATGAGATCAAGGTCAGACTAGGCTGCATGAAATCTATCCCAAGACACGTTTAAGATGGCTCTAAGTACATACCAAGAAAGTGTGATGACCAAAGTTGGATCTTACTCAGCCCTCAGTGGCGCATCTTTATCTCACTCTTTTCAAAGCTCAGGGAAGAGAGGGTAGGAGGATTTTAAGAGCCAGAAATGGGGGACAATTTTAAGGAAACACCATCTTGTAGATACAAGAGTACAGACTGATATACATATGAATTCAGAGGACATGACAGTATTCATAAGACCTGTACAAGTTCAAGGCAGATAAAAATCTCAGCATTTGCTGGGTGGTGGTGGCACACGCCTTTAATCCCAGCACTAGGGAGGCAGAGGCAGGCGGATCTCTGACTTCGAGACCAGCCTGGTCTACAAGAGCTAGTTACAGGCCAGCCTCCAAAGCCACAGAGAAACTGTCTTGAAAACCAAAACTAAAAACAAAAAAACCAAAAACAAAAAAACCCTCAGCATTTAGCTGAGGAAGTGGGCGTGGGCACAAGGGCTCACTCCTACATAAGAAGCTATTCACAAATGATAATTGCTGGGGAAGGGAAGTCAGGTTTTTTCAACAGAGTGCCATTGGATATACCAACTACACTCTAGAGCAGGTCCCACGCTCAGGAATAATTTGTACTCAATGTTTTTAAAGGCTTTTTCTTTTTTGAAAGAGAAAGAACATGAAGCTGGGTGGATAGGGAGAGGAGAGAATCTGGGAGTTGTGGGATATAAAATGTAAAATATACTGTATCCTAATTTTTAAAAAAAAGCACCAAATGCACTGGTGTGCATGATTAATGCCAACACTCCTAAGGAGACAGGAAGCAGGCCTGGAAGCCAAAAGCTAGACAGCCTGGCATAGTGTTAAAGAAATAAAAGAAACTCTGCTTCAACAAGGTGTTAAGACAGAACCAACTCCTAAATGATGTCTCCAGACCTCCACATCCATGTCTACACACACAGAGAGAAATTAATTTAAGTAAGAAGTTCCTAGCCCCCAAATCACAGAAGGTAACTATAATCTGACTATTAAATAACCTGAGTCTATGCCATTGAAACAAAAGGAAAAGCTGTCCTTATAATAAATGATAAGGAATAAGCAGAAGAAATGTTGGTATCTAAAGATCACCATCACTACAATTTATTCAAATAATTTATTCAAATATGAGCCATAAGCAAATCCTGTAGATTCCAGTATAATGAAACTTGTAAAAGTTAATATTGCCAATAATGGGACTACAAAACTGAGTTGATATGAAGTAGGAAGTACTCAATACCACTTTTATGGTGTGTCTGCCAGACAATAAACCCAACTCTAAGAGAGACAAAAACAAACTGGGGGTTTATGGCAGTGTCACAAAATACAAAGAAAACATAGAAACTGCTCATTAAAAGAGACCAAAGGCATACAACTGAATGTAATTCATGATCTGGAATGCTTTCAGGAAAAGGCATTAATAATATAATTAGCATAATTGCATTAAGGTTCACAGATTAGACAGTGATACCCACTGTTAATTTCCTGATTTTGATAAATATTCAGTGATTATTTTAAAAATTTCCTGGCTCAACAAATTTATACATTAAAGAGTACAACATAAGAAGTTCACATACAACAGAGAAAGTAAACTGCCGGTGCAAAATTTTAATGTATAGGGCATCTCAGTGAAGGTTATCTGGCAGTTCTTTCTATATACTAGTTTTACAATGTCTCTATTATTCAAGTTAAATTAAAATAAGAATAAGATCATGAAAAATATGCATGATTAGGAATTTTAATGATTGTAGACATTCACAAGAAGATTCCTGTATAAAATAATTTGAATGGATCACTGTAATTGAGTTTTCTAAGACAGGGATTAATGTTGAGGTTAGTGCCAACTTACCTCCAAATAAGAAACAGCAGTACTACATACTTTCTCTTCTTTAATCTCATCCATGGATTTAAAAAGGTCTAACATTGTTAGGTACATCACTCCAGGTTCAGCAGCTGATCCTAGCATCGTGTAAGTCTTCCCAGCTCCAGTGGCACCATATGCGAGTACTGAGTTTTTAATGGAAGGGGCAAGGTAAACACTCATTGTTCCAACATAGCAATACTAAATCCAGTCTAGTGGCTAGTTCTAACCTGATATTCTGAACAGTAAGTAACTTTAAATCCAATAGGTATCACCTGTTCACACTTAGCACTAATGTTATTTTGTGCCTCACACACTGAAAGGCAGCAACATCTACTCCCTTATTTGCCATCAGAATAAGATATCTATCCATATCCCTTCTTCGTAGCATAACCATACTGCCTCCACCAAGGAAGACTGTGCTTTAAGAAATGACATGAAGCAAAGCAGGCATATACTTGTCGAGCTGAATAAATTCTAAAAGAAGTGACTTATAAAATTGTTCATTAAATATTGTTTTAGGAAAATTAGTTATTTGCATAACTCTATCCAGTATCATATATGGTCATGCATTTCTTCAAATGTATTAGAAACGCATGGAGTTACAAATGCAAACACTCAATACCATATTTAGTCATTAGATTATCATATGTTAATAACCGATAAAATAATTTTTGGAATGAATTAAGCTGGTGTTTTTACTTTGGGCTTATGAAAAATGTCTTAAGACGGCTCAATAATAGAGAAACCGAAGAAATGGCATTGACAGAGACCCTTTTCTACTTTTTTAAAAGACATGGAAGGGGGAATCACCAGAACATCTGGATACAAGTTAGAATCAAAAGTTCTAACCAATAAACAGCATTTTGTTCTTGATCAAGGATAAAGATCAATTTTCTGTGACAAAACTGAGTAAGACAATCTTAATGAAACATACTGCAGTGTGGAATATGGTGTAAAAATTGACAATTATAAAAATGAGATAATAATAAGCAATATAACACTGAATTAACTGGTGTTTCCTGAAAGACTAAGTATTTCCTCCGCAAGGCATAAGGATACTTCATGAGCCGAAAATCTGCTAAAACAGCACACAATTCTCAGGCTCATGCAGTTTTACCGTTTTTATACTAAGGTACTTTATAGCTGGTGCTGCAAAGAAACTCTAAGTGCTCAGCAGTGGCAGGCAGTTTGAGGGGGACAGATGATTGTAGAGGTCAACAGTGGACATACTTGTCAGTACAAATGGTGAGAAATCTGGAATCAATTATAAGAAGCATATGACTTAATAAAACTAAAAAGGGTGTTTATAGAGGCAATGGCAAGGCTCCAGGAAGAGAAAGTTTCATAAAAGATAAGCTGTATACGAATACATTTCAAAGAAAGCCTGCACTTCAATCTTAAAATTGTTGGAATGCTTATACCTTCAACTTGATTGCATTACAGGATTAAAACTGTAGCTAGACAGAAAAAATGGATTTCAAACTGAAATTACCTGTGCAATTATATCCATTCAGAAAACTATGAAGAATTGGCTTGGTAGTGTGTTCAAAAACTTCCATTTGAGTTGATGTTTCATCAAAAACAGCATCAAATACAAACTTAAGATCTTTATTTTGCCTTTTAGTAATATCAAAATTTGTAGTTTTCTTTTCATGAAAAAAACTGACTACTTCTTGTTTTGGATCAAAAACAAGTATATGTTTATCCACAACATGAACCACTTTATGGAACGCAACTGCCTTTTCTTTAGTATTCTCAGGACGCACACGAACAACTACTTTCATGTGATGACAAAAATCTTCCTCGGTGACAGACATTTTTAGTTATTGGATTCCTGCTCACATGAATGCCTGGGTAGTTCTCTGAAATTGAAGAGGAAAAAAATCACTATTAGTTTTACTTAAAACTGACATGTAATAGTCCCTTAAAAGGTAATGTTTATGTTTCACTTACCTAGAACATGTATTACTAGGAGAAATATATATATGTGTGTGTCTGTATATATTTACACACACACACACACACACATATATGTAAATCTATATATACATGTGCATACATATTCCTATAAACTTAAACATCCCCCAAAACATGTATGCACACAAAAGTATGGTAAGAATTTCTGGAATATTAATCAAGCTCTTGAGCTCAAGTTTAAATTCAAATACTGATTCCTTATGATTGAAATTTTTATAATGGCTCGTGCACAGGTTTTAGGTTGGATCATGTAAATGCGCAGGGAGTGATCTTTCTGAATCACATCAGGGTATGTCTCTTGGCAGTGGAAAGTGATACATCTAGGCTGTCTCTACCTGCATCTCAGTGGGTTAGTTCTAAGGTTGCACTAGCTAGCCAGTATATATCTGAAGAGGAAAGAAACAGTATACACTACTTATGTATTCAGAGGTCCTAGTCTCTGATCTTTTAATGACATGCAAATTTAACGAACACCAGTAAATGAATAGTGTCTTACAAGAACAAAAGGAAACTGACAAAGGACAATAGTTTGAAAAGCTTAACACGAATGGAGAGAAGTCAGGCCAGGTGGTGGTGGTGGTTAGTTGTGCATGCCTTTAACTCCAGCAGAAGCAGCAGTTGGATCTCTGTGAGTTCGAGGCCAATGTGGTCTACAAGAGCTAGTTCCAAAGTTACATAGAGAAACCCTGTCTTGTAAAACCAAAAAAAAAAAAAAAAAAAAAAAAAAAAAAAAAGGATGGAGAAGTCATGGCATGTCCACTCTTGCAAAATGCACACACATGCTTGAGTGCATTCACACAGGCATACACATACACTGACAGATACACATACATATATACACACACACACATTCACTTACTTTTATGCTCCCTTTTCCAAACAACATTTAAGTAAGGACTATTTCTCCTTGTATTTCTTTGTGTAGGATTGAGGTTTTGTGGTCTTTCCCTTGTCCACATTAGTATGCCTATTGTAATGTCCTTGATTAGGCAGCTATGATGGTGAGACATTACTAAGACACAATCTCACAGCAAACCTCTTGATCCTCTGGCTTAACTCTAGCACTTAAAGTGAGCTGAGTGAGAAGAACAGCTTGAGTTCTAGGCCAGCCTGGGTTCCAGACTGAGGGAAAGGCTGGGCATAGTGGTTAACGCTTAATTCTAGAACTTGGGAGGCAGAAAGAAGCAGGCAGATCTTGGTGAGTTTGAAGCCAGCCTGTTGTACAAGTGAGATCCAGTCAATAAGATCTACAAAGACACTGCTTAAAAATTAATAAAATAAAATAAAAATTCCCTCAAGAGAGACTGGGAGAGGTGAGACACACCCTTTGAGTTCCAGTCAGTGAGCTGCTGGTGAGAGTTCTGAGTCCTTGCTTGCTATCCCTTTCTTCTGTTGGCAAACCCTTTAGTACTGGATCATAGTACACCTGCAAGAGACTTGGTGTGTGGTGCCTGTGGGATCAAGACGCTGCCTCTGGTGCCCTGTCAAGGCCAGTGCCTACTCTGTCTTTGCTGCTACCACTCAGGTTATAGGCTCAGCCTATATTACTGAAAGGAGGCAAAGAAAACTACTAAACTACGTTTGCTAAAGTCTATGCTAAGAGAGTACTTCTAAATATTTTTATTACCAAGAAATGTGAGACCAATTTAGTACTTAGTACAATTTGCTCAGCCGACAAAGTTATATTGAGTTCCATAAACATAATCCACTATCATTTGTTAATTAGCAACAACAAAACCAGGAAACACTATCAGGTGAGTAAAGATTTGAAGGTGAAAATGTTATTATGCAGAGACTTTGAGATGCACATTCACACGAAAAAAAAAGGGGGGGGGGCTAATGTATGGAAACATGCTAGGATGGCATTTGGCTGTTAGCCTGAATGAAGTGAATATTTTCAAATATAGGAATTAAATAACTGAGGCAAGTCTAGGACTTGAACTGTGTACAAATAAAACAATATAATAAAATAACCCAATCGATAAGAGGGAAATCATACATGGTACTCAAAGCCTAACAACTACCTAGGACTAGTGAAGTCATGGACCTTGGAGGAGAACCAATAGCAGCATAATCCCTAACTACATTATAAATATTTGTCCTTATACTCCCAAGTGAGTGTACCTGACCCCTGATCTCCATGCAACAGATAATGACCATTACAAAACACTACAACCAATCAAAATGTAGTTATGGAGTCCAGTCTCACTGGATACATCTATCAACAACTACTGCCCTGAAGGTACAGAGATAACCAAAGAGGAGGTAGTGGAAACATAAGGGATTGTGCAGGGAGACTGTGTCCCCTAGGCATATCAGAAGCTATCTATACCCATAAGCCTCACCAACATGACTACCTAAACATCAACTGAACAAGGAAGACAATGAACTTATGTTGAAGCCCAGTAGGCTTCACCCCTACAGAGAGAACTCCAGGCAACTGAGACAAATGCATGACCAGATTCTCTCCTTTATGTGGATTCTGAGTATCTGAAAATCATTAAGTGCCTTTTCCTGCAAAGTCACCTTATTGGCCCATACAAGTATATTTCAGATGGCAAGACTAAAAGTCTGATAGTAACAGGTGGTGAAAAGGGAGGCTAATATAGCTGTAAGGCTAGGTTTTGGCATGGCCAATTTAATTAAATCATTTATTTCCTTTATAAATGTTTAGTTTCAAATACTGGGATATAATTTTATCTGTAAGGCCTAAAGAATGCTTAAGGGACTCTGCTTTCTTGTGCTCCAGCTAGAGAATCAAGAGGAATAGGAAATAAGATCAATCTTTCTTAAAATCTGCAACAGGTTGAGACTTGACATTTCTCTTCTTAAACTCTTTTAAGAAATTGTCAGAATGTCTTCCAAAAATGCAACCTGAATAACACTTACTGGCTTTTAAAACAGCCACAGAAGCCTGGCTGTGGTGGTGCTTGCTTTTAATCCCAGCACTTGGGAGGCAGAAGCAGGAAGACTTCTGTGAGTTCAAGGCCAGTCAGGCCTATAACATAAGTTCTAGGACAGCTAGGACTGCTACACAGTTGTGTTTTTATCCGTTGGTCTGGCCCCACCACCATGCCAGCCCCAAATAATGCACAGAGACTGTATTTGATATAATGCCGTTGGCCAGTTACTAGTATTTCTTATTGGCTAGCTCTGTCTTAAATATTAACCCATTTCTATTAATCGAAGTATTTCCACGTGGTCTTATCTTACCTGAGAGAGGCCATGGCATTCTTCTCTCTCAGTCCACCATCTTGAATCTCCTCCTTACTACCTCCTTAATCCTCCTTGTCTCCAAGTCCCACCTATCTTACTTTCTTATTGGCCAACAGTGCTTTAATCATTAACCGATAAGAGAAACATATTTATAGAATGACATCTCCCATCAAAACCCTGTTTTAAACAACCTCCTCCCAAAACAAACAAAATCACAGAATTCCCAATTAGCTTCAAACTCAGATGAAAACTCTTTAAGACCTCATTAAAGATTGATGATATTTTCAAGCAAGAAATAAAACAAAACTGCCTTCCCTCCATACTAAAGGCTGAACCCAAGACCTACATTATACCCTTTCATAGAACTCTACTCATATTCAAATTTTCTTAATAACATGCCTAGGGTGACAGACACAACTATAGTTAACAGCAACTGGGGAGGCTGAGGAAGGAGAGATTAAATCCAGGAACCGGACTCTAGCATCCATAACAAAGAGACCACCGACTCAATGAGAAATATATTTAACACATTTTTAAATTTTGAGTATTACATATATGTATATAATATATTCTGGTCAACCTTACTTTTAACTCCCTTATGTATCTCCATCACTTTTGCTCTAAACATTGTGTGATTTTTAATATAGCCCAGAAATTTGTATTATATATTTAAATTTATTATATTATATTTACTTGTGTGTGTGTTATGTGTCTGTGAGCAAATAATATACCATGCATGTGGAGGTCAGAGGATATATTTTAGATGTCAATTTCTTTCTCAACCACATGGATCCCAGGAATCTAATCTGTCCTTACCACAATGAGCCATGCCACTGGGCCCAGAAATATAATCCCTATCTCTCTCCCTTCCTTTTGTTGTGTGTGGCTTTTCTAGACAGCGTTTCTCTGTATATCTCTGGCTGTCCCAGAACTTGCTTGTAGACCAGGGTGTCCTCAAATTCAGAGATCTGCCTGCCTATTCTTCCCAAGTGCTGGGATTAAAGTTGTACACCACTACCACCAGTACCACCAGGCTGAGAAATATATTTCTTAAAGGTTAAAAACTATCTCAGTACTGATGTCTTCAGAAATTAATGACATTATTCTTACATTAAAGCATGTTTTTTTTTTTTTTTTAAACATGGGTAATTAAGAGATTGGTACGTAGCTAACTCTGTATCAAATGCAGAGACCATGTTTAATATGAAACAGTTATTGTTATCTGTGGAATAAGATGCTCTGAAGATTGTAGTATAGTCTCTGATCAATTGTGTCATATTCAGTCTTAAGTGCTACTTTGTTAAAGTAGAATCAAAAAAGGGAGTTGTAAGACTTCTTTGATAGGAATAGAATAAAAGAAGTGGATTGGTGGTGAGGGTAGTTGGGGATGGGGGCAGGGAACAGGAGGAGAGGAGGGAGGGGAAACAAGTTGGTAGGTAAAATAAATGAAAAAAAAAAAAAAAAAGGTCTATAGAGCACCACAGGATACCGATCAATTCCAAAAAGGACTGGGTATAAAAGAAAATAATGACGGGGTGGTAGCTGGCAATATTTAAACTCAGGGTTAGAGTAGATGACATTCAAGAGCCTTTACTATCCCCAAGCTGTATGATTATATTGCATGCTAAGAGACAAGAGGGGGGGGGGAGAATGTTGAAATGAAAGCAAATGGGATTGTTACTTTATACTTTTACCATTCTCAAATATATGATCAACAATTAAATTCATAAACCTATAAAATACACAGAACTACAAATTCACTCTTGTATAGGCCCTGAATTTTCCTCCTAAAAATTAAAATTATATACTTGTTTAAAAAAAAATGTAAGGCTACGGCTACTCAGTTTGCATTAAGGATTATATACAAACATATATATTCTAGACATAATGTTATTATACATATATTATGTAATGCCTGCAGCAATAAATCTTACCACTATGCATTCCCCATGCTGTGCTGTTAGTTACTGTGAATTATAACTTAGTTTGTATGTCTGGATTAGTATTTATCCATTTCCTCAGCCCTCAATAAGCAGTAAACACAGCTTTACTCTTCTGTTTTTGCTTTCCTGGAAACAGCACAGCTTAGCAGAATTTTGTTTACTAAAGCAGGAGTGAATTATGAAATGTAGCTTGATTTCTTTTTATCTTTTTCTAATATCACACAGTAACTATTTTTAACAAATATGATATAAATACTTCGATTAGGTCTAAATGGTTATAACTAGCAATAGTGATGATCATATTTGTTACTTTCTGCCAGGAATTATGGCAAACATTTCATATCCATGTCATTCAACCATAATAATAAGCAAGCAAGGTTTGTTTACAAACACAGGAACTTAGTGTTTCAAATGTTTTTAGTAATGAGACAGAAACTGGACCCAGGTCTAAATCCAAATTTCCTAAGAAATAGAAAAGACTGCATACAAACAGGGGTACAGAAGTAGAATGTCAGCTATTAATTATTCCAAACTCACAGAGAAAATTCTGATTCAACACTGTTTAGAACAGGGAACTATCCTCATTTATGGTTTTTCTCTAGATTAAACCTTTGTGTACATTAAGTTTAGTGTTAGAGCCACACATCTGAGTGACTTACAAACATGAGGGGAGAAGGACAAGTTGACATAGAGAGAAGATCAGCACTGATAGTGGACATTTTTTTTCTATTTCTTTTCATAGCATTAACACCATAAAGTCACTTAATTGAGTCTTTATTGATTTTAGGTATAACTATAGTGGTACAAGATGCTCGGTAAAATGAAAAACCTCACATATCTGTAAATACCGGTTCAATAATGACAACACCTCTCATGGAAAGTCATTTTTATTTACTTAAATAGTTCTTATATGATACTGAATTTAATAGCAAGTATACTTATCATCTCCTTGGATTTCATATAATCTAACACCAAATTTAAAGAAAAATTTCCCAAACTCAAGATGGTAACTGGGTGCTAGTCCAATACTCCAACAAAACAAAATTAGTGCTAGTTCAATAATCCCCTTTCATGTTATAATGAGCAAGAACCAGCTTTGGCTTCTTTGTAAGGGCAAGACCAATGAGCTCCCATTGGAAAGGGTTGCAACAAAACAGAACGTGGGAATGCTTCTCGCTTCCAAGCACTCCCATTTTTTCTTTGTCGTCTTCAGCAATACAGGTGGGCAGTCAGGGCTAATTCTTGCCCATTGTTAAAACTGGGCTCCGGACTGACCAAAGAGCCCTTCTGCACAAAAGCTCCTCCCTTGACAGAAAAATAGGAGTCGCACACTCCCCTGTGCATCTCAAGCAGGATACTCGAAATTTGGAATCCGGAAGGAACCACACACTCCTAGGGGCTGGACTGTCAAGAGGCCATCAGTCCGAGTCTGGGAAAGTGTCCAGCAACCCTTTAAAGGGGCCAGCTTCCTCTCGGTGCTCAAAGGCGAAGCCCGGAGCCTCGGTGTTGGAAACCTCGAGCCGAGCATGCATCCCCAGACAGGCAACTCTGTGTCCTTCCAGCCGCAGTCCCACTTAGTCCCGCACTTCCCGCCTAAGGCTGCTTTGTCCGCAGACCTGACCACTGACGCCGGATCGTCCACTCCCGGGACCCAGAACCATCCCGCGCATCCCCGGGCGCCATGTCGAACTCACCTAGGAGAAGCGTCCGAGGCAACTTGGCCGACTTGGCTTCCAGGCGCTCCAAGCTCAGCCACAAATTCAAAACCAAGCCAGCTTCCTCAGCGACCCACATCATTGGTTGCCTTTCTGCTGACATCATCACGTCGGACGTTTCCCCGGCGTCTTGCAGTTTGGCGCCAGAGGCTGGGCCTCCCAGGCCGGAGGGGGAAGCTGCTTTTCTGCGCGTCGCCGTGGCAACGCGCGCGGTCGTTTCCGGGAGCCGCGGAGGAGGTGGGCGGAGCTAGGGCGGAGGTGCAGGTGGCACTGCACCTGGGATCCTTAAGCGTGGTCTCAGACCGTGGGAGTAGGGCTTAGTGGCCTTGGGTGGACTGTTTCTCTTGGGGAGAAAGGCGGAGTCTGTGGGCGTGTTCAAGGGCTGGTTATTTTGTTCTTTTTCCCTTTCTGATTACTCAGGCTTGCTGTAGAAGGTTTGGGGCCTCTACCTCGATCAATTGTAAGTTCAAGTCTTCTGGTTACAGGTCCCAAATCTTTTCAGGGCTTCCTGGCCTGTTCCAGTCATGGGTGATTGAAGATATTTGGTATTTGATGGTTTTTTACATGCTCCAAGTATCACATTACAAAATAAAATCACTTAACGATATTGGCTTAGTATATTATTCAATCAGGTGATTATTGTTCCAGATTGTATTATTTCTGAATGTATGATTTACGAAGAAAAAAAATGCATGGCAACTTGGGAAATATTTTTCCTAAGATAACTCATTTTTAATTTGACAGGATATCTTATATTTTGTATTTGTATTGTTGGCCAGGCAAGCCTTCTATCAGTGAGTGGATCTCAGCCCTTCAGATAAATGTAGTATTTCGCTCCTAATTTCATTGTTGTTGTTTCTAAGTCTATCCATTTATTTAGCAGTTACTACTTGCAGATTTTAGGAACACATTAGTACACAAAAAGTCAACATCTTTGCCCTACTGGAGTTTAGATTCCAGTTGATTGTAAAATTATGGATATTTCAGTGTAGTGTATTATTTATCATCTATATCTGCCTATCTATATCATCTATCTCTATCTAATTTTATATTTTGAGACAGAGCCTTGCTAGTTAGCCTTGTGTTGCCTGGAACTTGCTACCTAGATATGCCTGTCTCTGCCTCCTGAGTGCTTAGATTAAAGGCTTGGGTCACCACACTCAGCAGTGCAGAGAATTATTAGTGGAATTTTATGATGAAAACACAGATTTTGGACAGTCCCTATTTCTTTTGAAGAAAAACGGGAGATTTGCAAATTATATATATCATGTATGTTCTATTAATTTTCTAAGTCCTAGATAGTCCATCTGTAAATTGACTACTTGTTTCTGGTTGAATTAAATGAATTAAAAACATCGTTTGTGTTTTACTGGGTTTGCCAGTAAAATTGAGAAGAGTTAATTTTATTTTAAATATTCCCTCACTATTTAGTACTTGACCTTTGATTACCAGGCATATTACTAACTCCTTACATATTACTTTACTTTATTCTCCAAACAGATAAGTGGTAGACATATTGTTTTGATTTTATTTCAAGAAAACTAAAGTGTTAGAAAAATCTCTAATAGGAAGTATAGTATTTGTTTTGTAAAACAAACCAATTCAAAATTCAGCCATTTGTTTTTAAAATACTTTTATGCCAAGTGACTCAAATGATATTTTAATCTACTTTGCCATCTTGCAAAATTACATTGTAAATGAATAAGGCATGTAAATTTCATATTTCTGTTTTTGTTTTTTACATCCACACTGTATAGGCTTCTTAGTGTTACAAGTGTAGGCACACCTAATCCAAATACTATACATTTAATTTCAGTTGCACATTGCACTTGCTTTATAGTAGTGCTCCATTTATAAAATCTATACTCTTGATGAATCATACATTTGATTAAAACAGAGCTTTTGGCCATCCAATTAATGGCATTATTGTGCAGTTGGCAACTCATGAGTCTGGCAGAAGAAATGTCAGGACAAGAGAAACTCACGTTTTCTAACGAAATGAAAGAGGAAGGAAATGAGCCACAACTTTCCAAACATACAGGGCTAATAAGGTTGAAATTTCCATCTTTGGACTATGTATGGAGCCATTACAAAATTACTGTATTTTTATAGTCGACCGAAGAGAAAAGTGAAACTTGCGTTGGACATCAAAACATTTTGTTTTTAAACCCTTAAAGTTGTATTTAAACTTGGTAATGGTGAGATCTTATTTTCCCAGGAAGGTCTTTTGGAAACCTTTGACCCATAGCACCTCTCAGAGCAGGTGCTGGGAGCAGCGGAACGGAAGGGAGGCAGACCTCAGTTGCTCTGACGGACTTAATCAGTCCGTTCTTACTAGTTTCCCCCACCCCCGACCTAGGTGCATGCAAGTTCGTCTGCTTCTTAGCGTCGCAGCTGGCCCATTTTAGACGCTGACTGAGGACTCTACTTTCCTCAGGTAAGAAGAAGGTGGCCAGTGGCTAGTTGGGGGGTTGCAGACGGGTTCGTGGGGTAGGAGTTGTGGGGAGCGGATCGCCACCCAGCAAAGGAAGTAGAAGCCCCTCCCCCAACTCCTTAGGGTCTACTTGCCAGCCTGACTTTGATGATCTCCAGCATTCCCAATCACCCCTTTGAACATTGCCCAGGAAGGGCTGAAGTTCTTTGACTAAAGGATGCATTCCTCCCATCTCCACTTTTCTTTGCCTTCCTGCCAGCCCGCAGGTCAGGTCGCGTTTCTAGCATTAAAACTACATTTGTAACATTTCCTCTCAGGGCAGACTAATCAAAGTAAGGTTTAGCAGCCCGAAGGAAGTACTTTTTACAGGCATCAGTTTGTAATCCCACAATTAAAAGAGTAACCTGGCCAATTTTGTGGTCTCCACAGCTGAAGGGAACTTCACCCGTGTCGAAAAGTTAAAAGATTTACCTAGAACACACTGCAATCTGCTTTAGAGGTCAGGTTTACTGACTGGCAGTAAATTAAACAGTCTTACAAGGATGCAGAGTGATCTGGTTTCCTTGGTAAAAGAGGCTACAAAGACACAATTCCCTTTACAGTTTGCACTCAATTTTTAGGGCACCATTTCAAAAAAGTGAAATACTACAAATAATCTAGAGATTACAAATAGTCATTTATTTGCAACCCCTTTTCCATGTTTACCTGGGTTACAAGCTAGTTAGTTCACAATAAAAAAAAAAAAAAAAAAAAAAAAGAAAGAAAGAAAGAAAACAAAACAAAACCACAAAACAAAACAAGCATGAACTAGGTGGTGGTGGCTCATGCCTTTAATCCCAGCACTTGAGAAGCAGAGGTAGGAGGATCTCTGTGAGTTCAAGGCCAACCTGGTCTATAGTGCTAGTTCCAGGACAGCTAAAAGTACCTGGTAGAAAGCCTGACCCCAAAACAAACAAACAAACAAACAAACAAACAAACACAAAATTAGGCTTTACCTTGAACATTGTTGAATGAATGTATAAAATTTGAGAATAATAAAGAATAAAATGCTTATGCAAACACTTTTGCATCCAATTATACTTGCTTTACACCTACATTATTTTGAGTTGTTTTGATTGACAGCAGTGCTTGCTTTAAAAAAATGGTCAAAATCTGGACATGGGGCTGGAGATATGACTCAGTGCTTTAAGTGTGTGTACTGTTGAAGACTTGAGCTCAGTTCTCAGCCCCCACATCACTCCACTCACCACCGCTTATAAGTCTAGCTTTGGGGGATACAATACCTCTGACCTCTGTTGGTATCTGCATTCATGTGTACCTCCAAAGATAAAAATAAGTCATTAAAACTTTCAGGACACAGAGTATAGGTTGTTTAAATATTCTAGATTCCATTCTTTTGCTTGATGCATTGAGTGTCTTTTGTTGGTGACCTAACAACACTGTTACTTCCAAGTAGAGCAGTCATTGGCACATAATTCAGTGGATTATTTCTAAAGCAAATGTGATGTATTATCTTTAAGGTAATACTTTTCATGTTCTATCTATATAACATATATATATATATATATATACATTTGTATTCACTACATATGAATTATTTTACTTTCTATTGCAAAAGGAAAGCGGGATGTTTATATGGGATGTGTTTCTTCATGTAATTTGAAAATTCAGATTTATTGCTACAATCAGACTGGATTGATAAAAAGATTTATCTTGTGAAGTCTGGAATATATTCACTAGTCTGTGTGTTCTCCCTCTCCTTTCCAATGAAACACTTGTTAAGCCCTTATTATCATTTGTTTGATTTTGTGGATATGGTATCATAGAACTTATTTTTAAGTAACCCTTAATATGTGAGGAATGAAGAATAGTGTCAATTGGATATTTACTATGAAGGTATCGAAAACATTGTTTGAAGCTAATTGGGTGAAACACAAATGCTTTCAAAAATGTTCTGCTAATATGTTGATGTAAGTATCCCTTTTTCCCTTTTGCATTCAAAGATGAGACATTTTGAGAAATTTAATGGCTGTATTATTTGTTTGTTTTGTTTTAGGTCACAGGGTGTATACATTGCAAAATGGCTATCTGGGATGTAGTCTAGAGGTAGACAGTGAGCTTAGTGTACACAGGCCCTGGATTCAATATCTAACACCAACCAATGAGCAACACACACACACACACACACACCCCAAACCAAACCAATATGGTAACTATGAAATTCCCACCTATTGTAAGGTGTCATGGTATGTAGCTTTAATTGCAGTATTTGGGAGGCTGAGGCAGATAGCAAGTTTGAGAGCATCCTGTTTTCCATAGTAAGACCTATCTCAATTTAAACAAAAGGGAATGAAAATGTATCTCAGGGTTTGATTGTTTATGTGGGATGAATAAGCTGGGTTTGATCTTTAGTACTGTTGGGGGAGGGATAAGAGTGTGGAGGGAGAAATGAATACCCAAACATGCCCAGTTGAACATTAAGTTGTAGCTTAATTCAGGGTGTGCTTCAGGAATACAGACTGGACTGAGGCTGTCTTGTCAGAGACTCTTGGCCAAAAGATTTCACAAAGTGATCACATTTTCTTGTTTGGTGTCTATGAGTACTCTTCAAAGCTAAGTCTTCTCAAAACTAAGTTGAATATATTAACTTAGCATTATGAGAACAATAAATAGAACAGCATGAAATAAAGGATGAACCAAATGAAATAAAATATTTATATTCTCTTTTGTGCTCTACTTTACCTTTTAGACAAGATTGGGTGAGCCCTGGGTGCTGTGGTCATAGATTAAAATTTAAGTTTTAAATACATATTTTAAAGTTCTGAACCTACTCTTTAGAGATAATTAAATTAACAAGTATATTGCAGAAACTGAGTTACTAATTTTCATATTGATAAGGGTTAAAAATAGATGGTTTTACAGTTTATAAAGCCACCACAAAAGTTGTATTTATTGGCTGGGTGATGTTGGTGCACACCTTTAATCCTAGCACTTGTGAGGCAGAGGCAGGCAGATGTCTGTGATTTTGAGGCCAGCATGGTGTACAGAGCTAGTTCCAGCGTAGCAGAGCTGTTACATACAGAAACCCTGCCTCAAAACTTGCTGCTCTAAAATAATAAGTTGTATTTATTTAATTATTTAGTTAAATTTTTTTTGCATTTTATGTTGTCCTCAGACATTCATTTTGCTTGCATTCTGTAATTGTAGATCTAGTCATCATGCCCATTGAGAAATTACATTTATATTATATATGTGTGTTCACCTAGGTTTCTTATTTCATGTAAGGAAATCAGTCACTTTGACTTGTTTACATGATGAGACTTAAATTTTTTATTTGTGTATTAAACATTTCATGTTACTGAGCTTTCTCCTAAGTATTGGGTCTTTAAAAAAAAAAAAAAAAAATTAGAAACTGAGCTGGAGAGGTGGCTCAGCACTGAAGAGCACTACTTGTTGTTCCAGAGGACCTGAGTTCAATTCTCAGCACCCACATGGCAGCTCACAACTTTCTGTAACTCCCATTGAAGGAGATCTCACACCCTCACACAGATGTATATGCAGTCAAAACACTAATGTACATTTTAAAAAATTAGAAGCCTCAAGTGATCATATTTTCTCTATATTTTCTCTTCAAGATTTGTTGATCTACAGAATGCTTCGATATTCACATTTTTGTAGAATGCACAAAGGACTGTTTTACTGCTGGGCGGAGTCTGGTGCATTTAATTTGGGTGTCTGTCCACAAGCAATGCACACAACAGCAGCAGTGCACACTGAATATGAATCCTTGGAAGAGACAGCTCTGTGTGACACTAGGAAGGTACATAGATCTGCAGAGAAAGATTCTGAAGCCATGGCTAAATTACATATTCCAGTAATGGTAGACGAAGTTGTTCATTGCTTGACACCACAAAAAGGGCAGGTAAGTTGATTTTTAAAATCATTTTAACTTTTATTGAGTTATGATTCACTGTTTAAAAATATATAATTGGGTGTTCTTTAGTGTATTGTTGTGCTTATGAAGCCACCACTATCATTTAGTTTAGGATATTTTTACAATATAGATAAGCCTCATATCCAGTGGCAGTTGGTCTCTTGTTTACTTTTCTCTGGACCTTGAAAACCACTAAATTATTTTATGTTATTTTGAATTTGCCTAAAATTGTTGTTATGCTTACATTCATTTTGCTTAATGTGTTTTAAAGGTTTACTCATGTTGCAGCATGCGGCTTTTTAGTTTTATCCATATATATGTATGTGTGCATGTATGCAGGCATGCGTTTTAGGCATCAAATCCAGAGTGTCACAGACATCAGTCAGTACAACCACAACCCTACTTTCTCCTTTTTTACTGCAGAGTTATCCATATTATGGGTATAATACATTTTGTTTAGCCATTTGTCTGTGGATCTCTTTATGTTATTTACTATTTTGTGGTTATTATGGATGCAAGTTTTATGAACATTTGTTCACAAGATTTTGTGTGGTTGCGTGATTTTAATTCTGTCATGTATATACCCACAGATACAATGTTCTAGTGATTGGCAATTTAGAATCTGAGAAATCATTTACTTGAGTTGATTAGTTTTACCAAATCACAGCTGTCAGAATGGTACACACTTCCTGAGAGGTTGAGTATGAAAACTCAATTCCAGAACAGTTTCTTGAGAATTTTATAATCTTTTTAGGAATGATTAAAGACAAGATTGGTTTCTGAGCCCCTGTTGCTATTTTTTTTAGCTCTGCATATTCAGTACCCATCTGTGTTATTCAGAAATCTCCAGAAATTCGAAATCAGTTTGTGTGTGTGTGTGTTTTCCTATTTCTATAATAAAATACCTGAAGCGTGATGAATTGCAGCCTCAGTTTTAAAGTCTGATCTTCCACATGGATTGGCAGTTGCTATAATGGAGACTTTCTTGTCTGTATCACATGGTAGTGAATAGCATTATAGAGGTCACATGTACAAGAGGGAGAGACTTGTACAGTGAGATGGGAAGCTAAACCACGAGGAGAGACCAGTCTTACTCATTTATAGCAAGTCTCATGTAAGAAGTCCATCATTTTCTTCTGAGAGTAGTACCCTTAATGACCCTAACCCTCTTGCCACTGTAGTGGTTGAAAGAGCAAGTGAAATGGCAGGTAAGGGAAGACTGATGTGTGTATGTCTTTGTGCATATATGCTCATGTGGGTTATGGGATGGAAGGAGGGTAGGAGGGAGAGGGAGAGTGCTAAGAGAAGAGGGACAGAGATAGGGAGGACAATGGAGGGTGGAAGATAGATAGTAAAGAATTGACAGTAAAGAGCAAATTGGAGTCCTTTACCTATAGGAATGGTTGACACGCTAGAGACCCAGGGAGGTAACTGCTCTAGAGTGTTGTAGATGGTTCTTCTTGCCAGCCTGGTCCCACAGCTGCATCAGCGCCAAATAAACACACAGGTGTTATATTAATTATAAAGTGGCTTGAGCTACTTATTGGCAAGCTCTGACTTAATTATTAATTTGTAATTACTAATCTATGTATTTCTACATGGTCTGATCTTACCAGAGAATGCCTGACTCACACCCTCTCTTTCTGGGCTCACATGACAATTCCTTTCTGACTATACTTCCCAGAATTCTCTTAGTCTGGTAGCCCTGACTATCCTTTCTTCCTGGCCAATAGCTAGACAGTGCTTTATTCATTAACCAATAAGAGGAATATATGTACAGAAAGGCATCAGTAGATCACTCTTTTTTATTAAGTTTTTTTTTCTGTTCATATTATGAAAGGTTATTAGCTTTATTTAGAGCCTGCCAATTTAAATATTGCTATTTTTCTAAAATCACCTTCACAGAAACTTCTAGACTAGTGTTTGATCACATTTGGACACTCTGACTTGATTATATTAATGCATGGAATTAACCATCATCTCAACCTTACTAATTGTTTTATAGGCAGGAGTAAATGAAATTTGTATGAAATACGTTAAGATTATATAGAAAGGTTACACAAATGTTAGGCATCTAATATTCCAAAAGAAAAAAAAATACAATCTTCTGATAATTTTGTGTATTCATTAAAGAAACCTATCATGCTAAAATCTCTTCAATTGTCAGCTTAAAATAGAGTTAATTTCCTTATGTGTTGACTTCAGAAATGGTATAAATGGTATGTCTTATCTTCACTACTGAATATAATATATATATGTATATATATATATATATTATATCTACATATCTAAGACATATGACAGTCCTTTCATTTTAGAAGGACTTCTAAGGCTGGGCCTACTGGCTTATTCATTTAATTCCAGCACTTGGGAGGTAGAACTAGGGAAATCTCTCTGAGTTTGAGGCCAGCCAGGTCTACATAGTAAGACTGTATTTCAGTAATAACAATAATAAAAGGGGGAAAAAGTCACACATTGCTTTTTTCAGTGTATGGGAGGCATGGTGATTCATGGTTAAGATCAAGGACTCTAGAATTATATATATATATATATATATATATATATATATATATATATATATATGCACAAACACAGAATCCTCGCATTAATCATTTTTTCTAGAGATTTCTATACATAAATTCAAGTAAACTAGGCTCATTGGAGGTTGCTCATCTACCGGTTATAAGAGATATATTTGTTTTATCACAAAAGCATTTTTTAACCTTACCCCAGGCAGTATATAATTAACAAAATTTATCTGGCCATTTCAAAAGAGTTCATGTGTGTAAGGCCTTTGGTAAATGCTGTCAAATAGTAGGAACTTTAAATACATGTAGATATAGATTTACATTCACAAAAGGTGAAATTTACTGTTGCATAAAACTCATGAGAAGAAATTTTATTCCCCATAGACACTGATAATAGAAGGTTAACAAAACCCATGGTAAAGTGCTACTTATGCATAATCACAGCCAAAGGTCTGGGAAGTAATTCTAAATATATTTAAATTATTGAAATATATATGTTCTGTTTTATGCACATATACACACAAATGAAAGTATAAAGTGGGGACTGGGTGTAAGTGGCCTCTAATTGATTTCTGGACCTCAACAATAAAAGTACATTTTGTCAATTTGCTTCTCTCTCTTGGGAGTAGTAACATTTATTTTGTGCTTACCCATATATTAGAAAAAGAAACAAAAAGAAACTAGTGAATCTTTACTGTGGAACAAACATAGGTGATTCTACATCTTGACCCATGCTGTTATTTCATTCTGTTCAGGTTCTTGGGAAAAATTTAATCCTAGTTTATTTTGACATTTCCATTGTTCTGATTTCAGTTTGATATTCTAGGAACTTTTAATAGAAAGTTTAATTTTATGAAAGTTATTTCTGAAAATTTTCAAGTGAGGCACACATAGAGATAATGTTATTTTTACCTTTTCAGCTGGCTGGCAGGCAGCTTTATTCACTATTCCCTTAATCCTCAAGTAATAAAGAACTGGTGACAGTCCTTGGACACGGAAGGTCTTCATTGCATCTAGAATCCATTATTTGCTCCTCTCCTTCCTGTGCTTTTCCCCAAACCATTTTACTTCGTGAACTATGAGTCATGCATTCGCTTGTACCTTGCACCCACTTAATTATTATTTTCCACATCTCCTTCAGTGGTAGATTTAGAGAGGGAACTTTTGATCATAACAGGAACTTATAAAAGCATATTGTTTTAAGTGAAGTCTGGTGTAACAAGTCTTTTTCTGTCTACCCCCCCCAACCTGGGGCCAGCTCCCAAATAATGACATGGAGACTTCTTATTAATTATGAGAGCTTGGCATATAACTTATGCTTGTTCCTAATTAGTTGTTATAACTTAAGTTAACCCTTTTATATTAATCAATGTTCTATCACTTGGCATTACCTTTCTTTCATCTTGTACCTCCCATTTCCTCTCCATATTCCAGGTGTCTCTTGTGTGCTTAGGTTCTTCCTCCTCCTCTTCCTTTCCCTCTCTGGAAATCCCGCCTATGCCTCCTGCCTAATTATTGGCCCTTCAGCTTTTTATTACACCAATCACAGCAAATAAATCTCCACACCCTGTTCAAACATCCCACAAACAGTCTAGGGGAATATTACAGTTACTTCTTTTTATTTAACGTTTAAAAGATTATGACCTAATGAAGCTATTGATTTTGGAAATTTGTTCAAAATTGCAGCTAAGTTTGCAAATATAATGACTATTTAGTAGTGTGAATTTTAAGGAAAAGAACTGCTTGTCTTCTACTGCTTAGGTGGTACAGAAAAGCTGAATGAATCATGTTTTCTCTTTTTGTTTAGTTTTTGTCTATTTGAATGTTACTTGATTTGATTGTGTAAGTCAATCCCAGTGCCTGACACTCTATAGGTGAACACCATTACTTTTTGTAAGAATGTACTGGTTACCTAAAAATATTTTTCCTGTTTCAGAAATATATTATTCTTGGTTACATTGATCAATTTTTCATTATCTGAAATGTGGACATAATATCTTACCTACTTGATGACACGATAGCAATTTAGAGGGCCTAATTTGGGCCTATGCAGTTTACTTCTCTATGAACTGGCCCTTTGGAGCCCTTTCTCTTTCCAGGGATACCTTGCTCAGTCTAGATAAAGAGATGAGGGACTTGGTCCTGACTCAAAGTGAGGCACCAGATTTCCTTCACTCCCCATGGGAAGCCTCACCCTCTCTGAGGAGTGGATGGGGCTTGGTGTCAGGGGAGCATATGAGGAGGTAAGGGAGTGGTAACTGGGATTGGTATGTAAAATGAGAGAAGTTTGTTTTGAGAATAAAAAAAGATAAAAATATCACATAGCACATTAAGTGGCCTTTATGTTGAATTGTTCTTTAGTGTGGTAATTCTAATGATATGCAGGTAGATGTGACTCTTGGCTCTGTAGTAGGGTCAGCTGTATCGTTCTAGGGACAACTTGTAAGTTTGAGTGCTGTT